AATAGAAACGACGACGTGTCGAGTTAAGAGTGGATAAATAAAGTGGTGAATATCGACGGCTGTGAATAGTTTAGATCAGTCGAGTTGTCGATCATCCAATATCACAACAGTTGGATACCGTACACGTGTCCTTCATCCGAGCGACTACGCTGGTTTTATATTTTAAATGAATAAAAAAAAGACAAAAGTGAAAGTGACAAATGGCAATGGAGAGAAAAAGACATCTTCTTGATGCGTTTTAGGTCCCACGTCACATGGGTATGTGGGCCCCTCTCTTTTTTTCTTCTTCTTAGTTTTCGTATAAAGAAAGAAGGCTACAGTGTGGGCCCTACCCTATTTTAGCAATTTGTCAGTACATTATAAAAATGGAAACTATCGTATTTATTATTATTATTATTATTTTATTATTATATATGCTGTATACTATATCATAAATTTTGGAATCACATCTTCTCTCTTAACTTTTTTTTTAAGTTTTAAAAATATATAGGTTCAACACTATACTACTAAACCCCACTTTAAAATTTATAAACATTAGCAAAAAAAACTATGTTTACAATTACATAAAAAATCATAACTACGATAGATGAAAAATCCGAATATTAGGATAATTTATGTATTTTTTATCAATTATAAATTAATTTATGTATTTTTTAACTACGGAAAAGTTAGTATATTTTTCTAATAAATATTAAATAAATCATGTTTACGAACATTGAATCATCATTAATTTTTTTTTTTTGAGAAAATATTGAATCATCATCATGAAATTGATCTTATATATACAGCATATTTAATAATTGATAACATGCCTTGTTTGGTTTTAATTTTCTTTTTTAAAGTATTATTGTATGAAAAGATTATAACATGTATAATAATCCAAAACACATTAATTTTTGTGTCACACCATTCATTTTAGTTAAGACAAGCCTTCTTGAATTGGACACACAGCATTGTATTTCAGTCAAGTCAACTTCTTTTATACTTACTTCACTATATATGTATGTTTATTACTCGTAATTTTACTGTATTCATTTAGAAAAAACACAACAAATCTACTTTGGGTATAATTAAAACTTGAGCTTATAAAGAGGAATCAATGAATATCACCATTTATAAGATAATTTGCCATTATATTATTCATATGAGTGAGTTAGAGATCTATAATGTAATTGCTTTTTGTTGTTGTCCCTTGTCTATAACTCAAATGTTTTTGGTTATGATACAGTTACAAATCCTTGTAAGTTGTTTATGCAGTTCCAAATTTGTATATATATTAGGCTAAATAAGTAACCCTAAAATATGAAGAAGATAAAGAGAAAAAACAAATAAAAGTAGTACTAGAGACTAGAGAGAATAGTGAATAAGATACAGTGTGAAATAGGTAAGATCTGATTGCCTCAAATTCAGATGCTATTCATTGACATGAGTAAAGCTTTCTGAACGTGTCAGAAGTGTTTCATCATCTTTTTTTTTTCTTCTGCAACGTCCTAAAGAGAGATGATTCAGTAAATTAAAATGATGCTTCATGCTTCCACTTCTCACGTACGCGCACAATCACGACTGACCACCTTTTTCTTCTCTATCTATAAAAGCACCTTCATCATTTTGTTGCCTGCCTGCCTCATCCTTTTTACTATTTTTTTTTATTCCTTCCATTTTATCCATGGCAAAATATATATTATGTATATTTTAAAGAAAGAATTACTCATTTTGGAGTTCTTATAATTTTATTTTACCAAATGGAAGTAAGGTTTTTCTTTTGAGTTTTAAAGTTTTTGAGTTTTGTAGTTTGTATTACGTTTTATTATTTTTCGTAATTTAGCGTTTCGTTGTCCACTTATGGATTTGAAAACTCCGGAAATATTAATTATTAATTATTTTCGCCGACATATATATCTCAACAACGTATTATTCAAAACAAATGACACAAAAATCGTTTAGTTTAGAGTTTTTGACACTGTTTTTGAGTTTTTTCCTTTTCTTCTATAAAGTTGTAAAAATTTTAACTGTTATTTTCATGTCTTTGTGATAAAAATGTGGAATATTATCAATTGTGCGATATCATTGTAAAATTTAATTAATTCAAGATTTTTTAGGGTTAAATTTTGGATCCAAATCCTAACATTATATATCAATACTATCTTACATCATGCAAAAAAATAATATGAAAGTGACTAAAGGATGGCTTAACTCTAGTAGTATGTTTAGCTGTACTATAATTGGAATGACAAAACTTAATTGATTCCTGTTTGTCATTGATAATTGTCAAATGACTAAACCTATATTTCAATTTGGCAAAAAATTATGAATGGTAAAGCCATCAATACATATCATTATGGTTATTTGACCTTCCCGTCATAAATCATGGTTTCAGTTTTATGTGTGAGTGTGATTCAACGTTTTAGCCTTATGTAACAATACATACATAGTTGTTGTCCCTTCATTATTTATTTAAAGACTTGTTCATATTTTTCTTAAAATGGAAAAATTACTTTAGATGCTTTCTATAAACGAAGAGAAGAAAATATATAGAAGAGAGATATATGTCGTGGTCGTGGTGGGATTAGGAAGGAAAAGATGTATTTGATGTCCAATCACGTGTTCCCTTTCTCTTCTTCTCTCTTTTGTCCTATTACTTAACTTTTTTTTTTATCTCCCAATGTTTTCTAAATTCAACACTTACTTTAACCAAATTTCACTTTTCTTTGGCCGCAATATCGATAGGGCTATATCATGATCTGATCTATAGAGTTGTTGTATGTAGTCATTTCTATTTGGACCAGTGCTTGCATTTGCCATATAGACAATGTGCATCACTTGTATTATGAAACATGTTTATGAACATAGTTCCGAGTTAGGATTAGGCACAAACTCTTGTTATACGTTTAGTTTATACAAATCGTTGTGAAGTTTGAATGCTCTACTTACATGACCTTTGTTGATCATTCGAAGTTGAATTAGATGTTTTCTTGGTTAATTAAAAAAAAAAAAAAAAAAAAATTTTGTGGAACGTGTAATATATCCAAATCACATGGTCTTTTAATATATGAAAACAGTGAAATACCTAACTCAAAATATCATAATGCTGATTTGTGTTATAAAAATATCTAAGAAGTCAATTTAAAAATAGTTTAATATGTACCTAAATATCTGAGTCATAATACATATCTTAGCTATATAAAAAATTGGGATCAGATAGCTATTAATTTTTGATATTATTTTTTAAATTGGATAATAGTTAGTTTCTTTAGTGAATTATATTTTAAAGTACGCGCCGAAACATGTTTATTAACGAAATTACAATTTCTGTCTTGAGTATGAATTTAATGTAATGTTGATTGTTGAATCTGAATTTTAACAATTAGATATCTAAGTTTTTGTTGGATAGTTGTTCATACATACATATACATATGGATTCCTATAGATTTCATTGATACTGTTTTCTACTTAAAAGATGTGTCTATGTTCTTCTTCTACTCCTAGATTCTATTATCTACCATAGACTCTACCTCTAATATATATAGGGCTAACGATATTCACAACATAAATTTGTCTTTTAAGTCTTTAACCCAACCACTACAAAATTTGCCGTCCATGGTGAATGGTACTACGTTAAAGATTCATTGTTATCTCTTACGATGAAGATGACATTGACTTACTTAACTTTGACTTTAAATATTACAAAAAAAAAGCTCTAAAACCATGTTTAATGATAGGCTCTTAGTCTCAAGATTTTGTTAAAAAAAGCTCTTAGATCATGCTCTAACAAAGTTAATATACAACACATCAAATATGATATACATTTACGTACTGTTAAATCTAACACACTGTAGTAAGATTTGATAAACGACATGGTTTAATTAATTTAACAGTAAAAAAGATATAAAGGATCAAAGATGCATTTAGAAAATTTTAATTAAATTAGAAGATTCTCGTATAATATTATAATGATCTTATTAGAATTGGTCCACAACTTTGCCGGTTAACCTTTAAACATGTATATATTTTTATTTTTTAACAATACACTGTTGGTTCCACAAACCGAGACAACTCGAATTCGAATCAAATCAAATCCCAACAGCATCACTAATGATAGTGTTTAAATAATAACATTATACAATACAATTTCGAATAATTTGAACTCGACACCAAATGACTATTCTAGCAAAGTTTACTAAAAACGCCAATGTGTTACTAGAAGTAACTATATATGAATGTCTGTTTATAAAATAAAAATAAATAAAGAAAACACTTACCAACGATAAAATGTTAAGATGTATATAGCCAAATACATTATTAATCACTGTCACAGTAAATAATGTTCCTATTAAATTTGTTATAGATTACTTCGAATGAAAACGGAATCGCACAATTGTTATTATTAAAATTAAACCACATTTTTCTATTAAAAATTTACATTCTACTTATGAAAATCATAAAAAAAAAAGTTAAATATTTTAGATATTTTCTAACTTTTAGATGAATGTAATCATCACCATCTCTTGTTATAAGTCATTTTTATCATCATATTTTACCATCTCTAATTATATTCTTCATCTTTTATCGTTATGATTACCACTAACATCTTTCCGCGCTTTATATCACTAATCGAACCCTAGGTTACTTATTATAAATTGATAGAACATGGCAATAAACGTTTTATGCTAAATAAAAATTTCGATTCAAACATACAAAATGGAATAAAAATTAGTAATTGAAACTAAATAAAAATTTAATGGTTGGAATTTTTTTAAATTGATGTATTCTAAAGTTTTTTGTTTGAATCCCAAAAGCCAATAGGACTTGTAGAAATTTCTACTAAGACCTTTAACTTCGTAGTCCCACTCAACATCAAAACTTGAACCTGCCACTTTGAGACGCATACTCACTAGTCACTAGTCATCACATCTAATTTTGGTGCTTCAAGAATTTTTTAATTAAGGGTTAAAAGTTGTATAATTCAAGATTAAGAGGGTCGATTTTAGTAAACTAAAAGATTTTGAGTTCTGCTACTTTGAACCCTTCTCAATTTCTCATGATCCGATGATGATCCCTTTAATTACAAGAAGTGCACGAAAACACCAGAGAGAGAAAAAAGCATTAATTACAAATTCACCCTAAATATTTATTCCCGCCCAGGTTTAACCCTTGCTTAATTTTTTTTCCCTTCATTTTTAAACCATTATTCCCATTTTGCCCTCCTCTGTTTTTTTCCCGAGCATCTAAATTCCAATCCAAAATCTCTTCCGGTGGTGATTTTGACAGCTTCAATTCCAGTGATCAACGGTGGAGTACCAGTGCAGAGACGGCGGTTGTTCATCGGAAAAGAATTCGCAAGCTTCTTCTCCACTCAAAAAGTCATCATGATCCTCCGTCTGCTCCATTTTCACAAACTTGAAGAAGTTACCAACGGGAACCGTCACCGGAGCAGCCACCGTGACGTTAGAGCTGCTTTCCTCGTTCAGAAGAGCGCTTGAGTCGCTACTGTCTGAAGATCCAGCTGCGGCGAACGAAGAAGCCGCCGCCTTTAATGGAAGAAGTTCACGTAGATCCGTGAAACTTCGGTAATTGAGCCCATCTGAATGTTCTAGAAACTGCGGTGGAGACGACGGCGGCTCTGTGATCTTCTCCGGCAACGAAACCTCTTCCTCCTTGACGGAAATATCACTCTCTGTTGCCTCCGCCGCCTCGTTGTTCTCTTCTTCTTCTTCTTCTCCTCCTCCGTAAAGCTTAGTCTTCAGTTTACTAATCTGCATCAAACAAAAACACAAGATTTGTAAAAAAGTTTCAATTTTTAAACTTGGGATCAACAAAAGTTTTAAAATTTCTTCAAAACTTCAAGTGATCTCAACCAACAAAGGCCAATTATAATTGAAATGAACAGAAAAGGTTCGATCTTTAACATAAAGTTGGAATTTTTATACCTCTTGAAGAAGAGATTCATTGTCACGGCGGAGGGAATCAAAGTTATGACGGAGAGAATCGAATTGGGTTTTAAGAACACCGTAATCTTTCTCAAGCTGTTTTGTCTTCCAACGAGCACGACGGTTCTGAAACCAAACAGCAACTTGACGAGGTTGAAGACCAAGTTCTTGAGCCAACTTAACTTTCCTCTCAGGCTCAAGCTTATTCTCTAACTCAAAATTCTTCTCCAAGGCTTTAACTTGGTTAATGCTTAACCTTCTCTTCTTCTCAGACAAACCAACGTGTCCTCTCTCTTCAACTATAGCTTCTTCTTCTTCCTCGTAACCTTCAAGCATCGACTGAAACTCTCTCCCACCGTATCTCCTCGGACTCTGCTCATCTGTATTTTTCATTTAAAAATTCAAAATTAGTAATAATAATAACACAAAGATGAAGGGACTCTTGTTTATATGATGATGATTTTAGCTTTATTTGTAAGAACCTGTGGAAGTGGTAGGACATAAAGAGATGAGACCACCCACTGAATCTGAACTACTACTACTTAGTCTCTTCATCACCAAAACACAATTCTTTTAAAAATTCTCTGCAATTTTAATTGCCTCAAAATGTTTTTAGTACTTGATGATGATGATGATCTCTCAAACCAGCAACAAAAAAAAAAGAGAAAAGCTAGAAATTATAAAAGACAATGGGAGATTCTTCTATTTACAGGGGAGAGGAGAGAGAGAGAGAGATGGTGCGTTTTCCATATGAACAAGGCTTTGGTTTCACATTTTCTCTCAGTTTAAATAAACTCAAAGCTTGGGTTAGATTGTAACCATGGTTAAGTAGATATTGTTGGGTGTTTTTTTGGTAAATGAAAATATTTGATTTTTTAATAATTAAATAAATAAGAGGGTCCACCGGCTATACCCAGTTACCTCCAGGTTTCTTTCCGGTATCACTGGAACTCGTCTGTGAGAGACTGAGAGATAAAAAGAAAATTAATAAATAATAAATAACATGGCTCGGCTTACACTAATCGGCTCGGCTAAAAGGAATCTTATACGACATCGTATTAATCTCGTTTCCATTTTTTAAAAGTTTGTGAACTGGTTAGAAAAAAACAATTTACAAAAATGAAAATAATCCATGTTTGGATTGTCATAGTATTCGCATGGTAATCTAATCATCACCTTTCTTAAAAGCTGTGATAATTGAATTATAGTATGCTTTTTTATATCTTAATTTTATCATAATGAGCACTTTAAGAAAATTATAATTAAGGTATTGGGGTGATGACTTTCGTGGCAATGCAAAATGAGACAAAGAGCTGTTGGCCCTCGGTGACAGCAACAAGAGTGAAGTTTTTATTTATTTTATTTATTTAATTAGGTTAGGTTTTATAATTTATATTTTAAATATTCGGCAAATTTTTGTGTTAGGTTCTTTGATTTTTTTCACCTTATCACTTTCTATATATGGTATAATCCATTGATGTTAGAATTTGTGTTTTTTACTTTATAAAATGTAAATTCTATTTTTGTTAGGTTAACAATTACAAACAAGATAGTATTTTCTAGTCGTATTAAACTAACATCATAAATTCTTAAAATAAAAACATATATCTTGAAAATGAAGATCATTAAGATTAAAAGTGAAAACATATATTTCAAATATTATAACGTTAAAAAAATCTATAAGCTTCAGTTCATCCTCTATAGTATAAAGATTAATTTTGTTCAATTGTACTCGATATTAAAATCTTTGTCACAATTTACAATCAAATGTGTTAGCAAGATCTCACTTGACTTCAAAAGAATAAAATCGTACTAATATTTAAGAGGCATATTATGTTACAAAAAAACTACAACTTTTTAAATTTTGTATTAAAATGAACAATCAAAAAGACAATACAAATGACTCAATTTTTCTATTTTTGATAGAATGCTCTATATTTTTATTATAGCAAAAAATCGAAAATAGGAAAGTAGGGTTTAGATTTGGTGAAGAAAAAAATCATAATGATCCAATCAAAAATGTTTTGTGAAATAGAAACGTAAATAAGACGAGTGAGTCAAGCAAGCAAAGAGCCTCTCAAGGCAACTTATATGTATATATGGTCACCACCGACACATGACGATCTCAATGGGGATTTGTGTTTCCACCTAATACGACATCGTATTCAATTCTCCAGAAACGACGCCGTCTCTCCCCTCGTGCTTATCCATAAATGGTAAAAATATCTACGCACCTGCCACGTCAGCGTAAAATTAAAAGATCATCACCGGCGAACAAAAAAACAGAGTGATTGAGATTCTACGGCGGTGGTGGTTCGTACTTCGTCGTCTCCTCTCACTCTCTTCAACTCCATGAACATGGCGTCGCTTACTCTCCGCTGCGACGCGACGCAACTCTTTCCTTTACGGTATGCAAATCGGAATTCGAAATTAGGTTTAGCTATGGTTTCCAATTTTTTGGGTAAATCGCGATTAAGTTGAATCCTTCTTTCGTAGAGGTTTTGGATTCAATTGGAACACAGTCTCTATGGATTTAGCTGTGTTGCTTATGTTTCTTCAATCGAAGTGTGTGTTAGGCTTAGGCATTGATGATTATGTTGTCTCAATGATTCTTGTTTCAGTGATGTTGTGAAGGGAACAAAGCTATCTAGAACGAGCTGGGTGTTTCCTAGGATTATATCGAAGAAGTTCAATTTTAGAATGAGAGTGATATCTGAGGAAGGAGATGTGTTCTCTTCCTCTAAGAGTAATGGATCATCATCAATGGGGATCGAGTTGCAGCCGGATTTGGTTTCGTTTGGGACATTAGCTGCTGAAATGATTCCCACAACTATGGATTCTTCTGATGTTGAGGATGAAGAGTTCGATCTTGATCGACCTACTGCTGGATTTGCGTCTATTCCTCAAGCTATTGAGGATATTCGACAGGGCAAGGTTTGTGATTGTAGTAATTTTGTTGGGGTTTTGCTGTCTTTGAAGGAGAGGATCTTGTGTGAAAGCTTTGAATTTTTATGTTTGGCAGATGGTAGTTGTTGTAGATGATGAGGACAGAGAAAACGAAGGAGATCTGATAATGGCGGCGTCGTTGGTAACACCTGAAGCTATGGCTTTTGTGGTTAAGCATGGGACTGGAATCGTGTGTGTGAGCATGAAAGGTGAAGACTTGGAGAGGTTAGACCTTCCTTTAATGGTGACGCGAAAGGATAATGAGGAAAAACTCCGCACGGCCTTCACGGTTTCAGTGGTGAGTACACTCTAATAGTATCTTTTGGTGCTGAAAATCTACAGGATTCTTAGTGTTGGTATGAAATGAATGTTGAAAATCTTGGTTAGGACGCAAAAAAAGGAACATCCACAGGTGTCTCAGCTCGTGATAGGGCACAAACTATATTAGCCCTTGCATCAAAAGATTCAAAACCACAAGATTTCAATCGTCCTGGTCATATCTTTCCTTTGAGATATAGAGAAGGCGGTGTTCTCAAAAGAGCAGGGCATACAGAAGCCTCTGTTGACTTGACTGTGTTGGCCGGTTTGGAACCAGTATCTGTTTTATGTGAGATTGTAGATGATGATGGTTCCATGGCTAGATTACCAAGACTCCGCCAATTCGCTCAAGAGAACAACTTGAAAGTAATCTCAATCGCCGATTTAATCAGGTACAAACACTTTTTAAGGAAATAAGTCTCACCTAACTAAACTCTCATTTACTGAAACTTTCACTATTACACTTGATTTCAACCGCAAAATTTTTCTCGCAGATACCGAAGGAAAAGAGAGAGACTGGTAGAGTTCACTGCAGTTGCGCCAATACCGACAATGTGGGGGCCATTCAAAGCACATTGCTTCAAGTCATTGCTTGATGGAGTTGAGCACATTGCAATGGTCAAAGTAAAAAACCCTATCTAACACTCATCTTTTGTATCCTTGATCATTCTTTTCTTATAACCCAGATTTTGATATGAAATCAGGGAGAAGTAGGAGATGGGAAGGATATCCTTGTGAGAGTTCACGCGGAGTGTATCACGGATGATATATTCGGAAACAGCTCTGGTGGAAAACAATTAGCGATTGCAATGAGACTGATTGAAGAAACTGGGAGAGGTGTTTTTGTCTACTTGCGTGGTCCAGAAAGTAAAGGCATTGACCTAAGCCACAAGCCTCGTACTTACGACAACAATCCAGATCAAGCCGTTGCTTCACGGGAATACGGCATTGGAGCACAAGTAACAACAAAAACGTTGAATCTTACAAGTTTTACTGTTTTTTTCAATTTTAAAAGAAGCAAAAGATTGATCAAAGAATTGGTGATGCAGATACTGAGGGATCTTGGAGTAAGAGAGATGAAGGTGATGACTAATAATCCGGCACATTACGTTGGTCTTAAAGGCTATGGTTTATCAATTTCTGGCAAGGTTCCTCTCATTAGTCCTTGAGTGTTTTTTTTTTATGATTGATTAGTTTGTGACCGTTAAAGAGATACCACATGTGTCCGAGTTTGTGAGTGACTTAGTTTGTTGTTAGTTGTTGTTTTTGCGCCTAAACCATGTTTTTTTTGTTTCTTCTTACCTCCATAATTGTCATTAGAATCATTTTAAATGGTATATTCTCTGCAAATTAGTATATATATATATATATGTTGTCACTTGCGTTTGGGTTTTATCAATCACGAAATGAATAATTGATAGTCATACTTTTTGTTTTATCCTCTTTTTTTTGGTTCAACTACTTTTCATTTTATCCTATTAAGTACATTAAGAACATATGTAATTATGTATCTACATATTTTTGAGGAGTTATTCTCAATTTTGTCTTTGGACAAGACGATTATTAATGTAATACAGATGATGGCAACAAAAGAGAAAAAATTAAAATTCGAATCAATGTAACTGTCGAAATTGGTGGTATGTAAGATTACATACAAAGCCGAAGCTAAAGCCAAAAGCTTTGAGCACGACTCAAAAACAAGTTCATTTCTCTCGAACAAAAGGAAAAAAAAAAAAAAAACAGAACACTTATGTACGATCATCTTTCACCGGTAATAGAATCAGACCGATGATGGGACGAAAAAGATACTGAGTTCTTGTCCGATGTTTCCAGCTGGATCAATCAAATGAAAAGCTTCAGATTCTTTCGAGCCACTATTAACTCGTCTAAAGCTAGCTCTCAGATACATCAACTCATCATCAAACCGACCAAGCTCTTTCCCAGTCACAACTCCAGCTCCAACCACAACCTTACTCAAAGCATCCAACGCCGCCATGTCATCTTTAGACGGACATCGTTTTCTCGCGTACCCTACTCTTTTCCCGTTACAATACATGTTCCAAAACGGCGTCGAGTCGTCTTCGTCTCTCTCGTTGTTGCGTTCCAACACTATACGCAACGCTCCTCCTCTCATCTCTCGTGCTAAAACCGTGGTCGGAACGGCTAGCTCGAGGAGAAGATCGAGGTTTGTCGATTTTCTCGGTGTTTGGATACAGAAATTGATTTTTCCTTTACGGTACCCGAAGATTGTTCCAGTGACTGTGGAAGAAGATAAGGAAGAAGAGGAACGGAAAGAAGACGTGCGTGATTTAATGTCGTTGTAGAGTTTCTTGCCTCTCAAGTTAACGTTGTCTTGTTCGAGTTCTTGAACTAAAGTGCAGTTGCAAGTTGGGATGAGAAGCTGAATGAATGAGCGGAGGAGACGCCATGACCGAACTTGTTTCTGGCAGTCTACTGTGGTTACCACCGTCGATTGAAACTCCATTGGAGCTCTGACTTTGGTCGTTGACATTTCTGATGAAGCAAAAAAAGAAGAAGAGGAAGAAGAAGCTTGAGGAGAGGTTTGGTGTTGAAGATGTGTTATAGGGTTTAAATAGGGAGACAGAGGAAGAGGGTTTACGTACAAAGTACCTTTATTTTTAGTTGTTATAAAAATTCGATTTTGGTTTTTTACTTTTAAAAATGTTTTATGTTTGGGTGATGAGAGGCAATTTATGAGCTATGATTTGTAAAGTGTGATTCGTGTTGGGGTTTTTGTCACTCACCCTAAAAGATTCTTTCGGAATAGGTGGAACTACTATTCACTATTTTGTATTTGTTATTATTGCAATATTAAAACCATATAAAATAAAATAAAAACTTATATATGTTAAATAATTGGGGTTTCTGACCTTTGAATAATTGTTTTACATCTTTTTGCAGGAATTGTTTTTTTCATTCGTATAATTCACTTTCTAGGAGGAGTTTTTTTTTTACTTTAAATCAACTATACAAAGACTTACTTTAGTCAGACCATAATATAATACCATAAATCTATGAATCTATCAACAAAAACTGATGAGACTTGACCAAGTATATAAGGGTAACTTACTTTAGTCTTTCATATCTACAAATTATGGTGAAATCAAAATCCAAATTTAATATATACTATAGGAGAGAATATATTTTAACGTGTGATAAGATTGGTAATTCAAGATACGATCATGAGATAGTTCTTGAATGTTCCCAACATTAAAAGTGATACTATACGAAACTTTTATATTAAGGGTTCAACTCATTTTAAGCATAGGAGGATGGTTTTTAAGTGTGAGAGCTAGCTTGCAAGATTTTGAATTTAGTGTTATGTTATCAACAAATTTGTATTGGAAAGCTATATGGTCTTTTTCATCCCACAGTCACTCGCCACCACCATAAAAGGAAGAACAAAAAAAGTTGTGGTTTGAATGGAACGATTTTTAAACTGTTTACGAAACAATTGGAGTCAGATGAGTGGAAAACACCACAGTAGTACCACACCAGTCTACATTATGCTACATAGTGTTTGGAGATGACTGCCCATTAATGGATTTGATTGGTAACATTGTTTATTGTTTGTGGAGAAACTAAATCATATGTAAAACTAAAACATATATAATCATTGTCGTTAAGATGATGCACACGCGGTATCCTTAAACTTTATGATATAGTTAATTCAGAGTTAAATAATGGTAATTAGTTATCTGTATACACACACGTATGAATGTTCATATACTAAATTATTATTATGATAGAAACGTATATTTCGACCACATGTATCGAACTAAGGGTGACGACGACTCTCGGAGTATAATTTTAATATTAAAAATAGAAAAGAGCACAAATTGGTATAATTTTAATCTTTAAAAAAATTAGAAAAGAGAACAAATTGAGTAATCCAAAAAAATACAGATTGGATGAAAAATTATTCTTGAAAAATAATACAACATTTCCGCCTTTTGCCTTTTCACCTGCTAAAAAATCATTCAAAGAAAACAAACTTTGCATAGACAATAATAATTAAAGAAAAGAACGAACTAGAATATTATATGTAGTTAGTTATATAGTATAACTTATATTATATATACCCGTACGACAAAAAGAGTTGTATAATTGCATAAATGATTAGACCATTAGATTTCCACCACTTCCATTACAGTCCAAACCTTAAAAAAGGATATATTGGAGAAATTAACATTGAGCACTTCACAAAACAAATTTTAAAAATATTCTCCATTCTATCTTATATTTATGAGATTCAATCGTTATAGCTCGTGCATGTCATTTCACTAATCTTTTATTCCTAAAATATCTAATGATTTTAATTAGACTAATCTTGTTTTTTTTTTTCTAAAAATATCTAAGAATCTTTAGTTAGGGTCATGAATTGTGAAGTTTGTTGATTCTAAAACAAAAAGAAGAGAGAAGAAACAAAACAAAGCATGAACTATGATGGCCCTAGATATTACTTTTTCTTTTCTTTTGGCCCTCTTCGTTTCTCTTGTTATGTTTATAAAGTTATAGTAAAAAGTTAACAAAAACAAAAGAAGAAAAAAGCAAGAAATGAGCTTTTTATAAATCCTTTTGTCCAAAAAAAAGAAAAGAAAAAGAGCTTTTTTATATATTAAAAATTACAACAACAACCGAAAAAGTGCATTTAGGTCCAAAATCTAACAAAAGAGAAAACTAGTTTATTATGGTGTCTAAGGCTAGCCTGGTTTCTCCACTCATGTCTTTTTGGCATTTTTCCTCCACTTTTAGTTTGTTCTTCTATGCATATATGTGCTCCATGTTAGGCATATTCAAAACCCTTTTCGTGTAACTAATAGTCTAATACTATAATTAATAGCTAGATTGATATAGCAATTTCTTATAAATATCTTAACAATCCACTAAAAGGAAACTATGGTCTATGTAAACACCACGAAATCGAAGAATTTCTAACTAAACACTAAATTCAACTCTAAATATTTCTAATGTTTCAAACCTCAACCACATGTTTCTATGATAAGATATATATATATATATGTAACTTCAAAGTTATATCTATGGTGAAAATGAATCTTTATTCGTTATATATCCATTTCTTTGGTTTCATTAGTTGGTTCTTTGCTTCTATGATTCCTTAGAGAGATTGATATAAAGAGAGAGAGAAAAATGGAAGTGTGACATCCCATTGTCTGAACTTTTGGTCGGTGATTCAATTGGCAAACTTAGCTGTTCTTGTTCCTATACCTTTTCACTCATATCAATCATCTCTAGGCTTTTGTTACAATTATATTCCCTTTTCAAACTAATCATATACATCCCAAATTATTCTATATGGTGTGCATTTGAGGAAGATTCGATCAAGGAGCTTATAAAACTTGCATAACATCTTAGTTTAATAAATTGATTCAACATTAATAATTCATATAGTTTTTGTAACTAAATATCTTTTGTCCTGGCTAAAAGAGTTTGGCATCCGAGTTATACTAGTTTCGCATTGACCATGTTGCGTTATGTAATTTCATTAGAGAAAATGATATCGAACTACAAAAGTTTCATATATATGAAAAGAATGTTTTCTAAATACTTATGAAACTTTTTCTAAACCTGTAAAACTTAGGGAAGATCTATAGAAGTTAGTGAAGGTGACTAAAACTAAGTTATAATATAATTCTGGAAAACGTTTTTTTGAGGTCCTATTTTGGATTCAGTTACTCTATTATCTTCTATGATGTGGACGTTGATAAAAGAGATACATAATTGAGATATGTGTCGCCTTTTCCTTAAAAGTGTGTGTGAGGACCCAACTGTTTAATGAAGAAGTGAAAAGTGAGAATAACAAAAGATTGGAAATAGAAACACTTTAGATCCAAAACATGTATATATGCATAATGAATCACAGTTTAATTAGAGAGAGAGCGCAACGGGTCCTCTCGGACAAGCCCACTACTACTAGTACATGTACACATAAATGGGCTATTTACAAACGAGCTTATGTTGGATTGGATGCATCGAGACAAATTGTGATTTTCAGTTTAGATTTCATCATAGAGTATGTAGAATAGGAGAAGCTTATATAACACCAAGATTATGCATGGTTGACAAAGAAAGATATTCAAACAAGAATTGGGTTGGGGACAAACTCTAGTTTGGTTGGTAATAGTATATCCATGTTAGCTATCAACCCAAATGTGAAACTTAGGAATTTGAATTGAATTCAGGAGACGATATACAAGATAATCCTGACTTTATTTGAAAACCTAGTATTATATCATACAATGAGTTTGATTTTTATTATATTTTTCTTACTTTTTACATTTTACTAGAGAATATAAAGATATGTTATTTTAAAATTACATTTCGTTTACTGCTGCCTTGAAACATATGTTTAGTTTAATCTTGCACAAATATAAACATGACAACCGAGATAATCTTGCCTTGACCCGACCCAAACTCTGTAGTGCACGCTCGTATATCTTTAGAACGAGAGACCCAACTTGTCTTAGGATAAAGTCTCTAAACCCAAATCTTGTTTTCAAAGTTGGATTGGTCGATCGAATCCAACCTTGTCTTAGGACATGTTTACATGGAATGGAAGGACCGGCATGGATACAACGACTCATCGATGCTCTTATAATTTTGTTTTTAACTCATAACAAAAAAAGCCTAAGTGTTTGTCAAAGAAAAATAATAGCCAAAGAATATTTCAAAGAATTATTTTAATTTATATATAAAAAAAGAATAGATATTACACCATATCGTCTCTCTATGTTCATCCTCAGCCCCAACGAATTATACATGTCCCACGTCAAAATAATAACAATAGTAAAAGAAAAAAAAATAAAACAAAGACAAATATGAACGAGAAGAAGTAATTAAAAATAAAACAGTAATAGAAAGCAGAGGATATATATCCAAATCCATCAAGAGCTCTCTAAGCCAAAACGACAGCGTATAAAGCTCCGGCAACAGCTGTTCCCACAAGGAAAGCTTTGTTAGCCCACGCGGCACTTGGTGCATCAGCGGCACCGTCTGGTCCTGGAGCTGGAGCTGGAGTTGGAGTTAATCCAGCGGATGGACCAGGAGCAGGGGCATCGGTCTGAGGAGGAGAAGCAACGGGAGATGTTGTTGGAGAAGTGGTTGGTGCGGTGGTTGGTGCTGGAGTTGGCTCGTTGACTGGAACCGGAGGTGAAGCAACTGGTGAAGGTGTTTCAGCAGTCACGGGAGGAAGAGCCGTAGGTGGAGGAGTAACGGTGGTTGGTGCTGGAGCCGGAGCTTGAGCGAGACATGAAGTGGCCAAGAAACCAAGAAAGATCAAAGCTTGCATTGCCTTAGAATTCATCTTTACTTCTTCTTTTGTCTAAAACTTGAAACTCTTCTTCTTCTTCTTGTCTTTGTTATGTCTTTGTGTAATTTGTTGATGGTGTGGAAACAATGAGAGAAGAGAGCTCTATATATATACCCGATGGTTGGTATAATTAATTATATTGTATAGTTACCCACTAATCATCATGCAAACCACATACCAAAAGAAAAATACAACATGGCTTAGCTTGACAATGTCGGTTTGAAAATAATATATTTTCTTTGTTTTTGTTTTTTTACAACTTGACGTGTTTGAGTTCTTGAAGTTTTCTTGAAGAATCATCTACGTTGAGGAGCACCAAATCGGATGCACAGAGATCTGCCACGTGTTATTTCTTTTCCTTACATCAGTTAGTATGACACGTGTCGTGTGTAGATTGGTTATTAGTTATTATTTGATTAACCGCGTTAACAATGCCAGCTTAACTATTAACACAAGTTTGACTAAATATGGTTTCACTGAAATGACGCGCGACTAGTAGATAATAAATATACATTAGTTATCCAAAAAATGTATAATTGTTTTGAACTGTTAAAAGTTTAGTATTATAATCGTTTCAGTTGGAAAAAATTATATTTTATAAAATTTATATAGTATGTTATCTGGACTTGTATATAATACGAGTGGGATGCTGGCAAAAAGCTGTCAAATATTTATGCTAATTTAATTAATTAATGTTATAAAATTAATATAATTTGTAATATTAATTCTTAGTGACAGATTGATTAACTTGGTTGGTTCCGATTATTGGTTAGAAACGTTACAATAAAACAGTCAAGCAACAACGCGCATTCGCATATTCTACAGCTATCTATCATATTATTTATTATTACGGTGTGAATTATCATTTTCAATAAGAGTCCTACCTAACTGTTATTTTATATCCTTTGAATAAAAAATGGTTAGACTTTTGTTTTGACTTTTATGCATTTGTATCTTTCTTCGTAAGAAAAATTATAATTTTCGTTTTTGATCTAATAATATTATTTTGATTTGTAGAAGCAGCTTGGACGAGGCCTTGGTTGGGTACTTGGGTAGGCCTCTTTTTCTAGTTTTTCGTGGGTCAAATTCGAAAAACCAAACATTTTGGGGCAAATTCGTAAATATCAAACGTTCTGACGCGCATTCGTAAATACCAAATGTTGTGGGCCAAATTCGTTAATACCAAACATTGTGGGGAAATTTCGTAAATATCGAAAGTGTTGGGATAAAATCATAAATATTTAAAATTCTGGGGCAATTCATAAATATCTAAACTTTGTGGGCCAAATAGATAATTATCTAAAGTCGTGGGGCAAATTCATAAGTATATAAAGTTTTTGGCCAAATTGATAAGTACCAAAAGTATCAAGGTAAATTCGTAAATATTAAAAGTTATGAATCAACTTAAGATAAACAAAAATTGTGGGACCTTTTGCAAATATGAGTTGGGAAAAAAATGACTAATTTAAGAATTGTGATGTTATAAAGTCAAATATACGACTCTTCTATGACTTTCTTCGAACAATTAGAATCATAATCAATTTTTTTTTTTTTTTCTCTATCAGAATCAAATTTTAATTATTCTTATCATCGAATCAGATTCAAATATCAGAGGGTTTATTCCCACTTTCGAAAAAAAATATGAGAAATTATAATGAAAAAAATCAGTTTTTGATTTAAACATATTCGCTGGAATGAAAATATTTGCATACAAATTTTTGTTTAAGATTTTGTTTCGTACTTCTTCATTGACCCAAAGAGCCAAAGTACTGTAAACAGATCTAAACACTGTTGCTGTTGTTGTGTTGTGTTGTGTTCTGTTTTTTTTTTTTTTGTAAAATTGTCGAAAACTCCCTCCAAAAAAAGGAAAAATAAAACAAAGTTGACTGAGAAAACTAAGCAAATTGAAAAAAAAGAAAAGATCTGATCGGAATCTTTTACGCCATGGACGCAGTTTCTCAGGCGATCACTTTCGGGATCTCCGTTGCTTACAAGAACAATTCTTCTACTCTTGTTCCTTGTCATGGACTCACCTCTTTGATCCTCCGGAGAGCGAGATCTCCGGCGAAGCCCTCATCTCGAATCTCTCATACCTCGTTGGTGCGAGCTTCAGCGATTCAGAATACAAAAACCTCAGCTTCATCGATCGATCTCAGCGATCCTGAGTGGAAATCAAAGTACGAGAGAGATTTCGAGCAACGATTCAGTATTCCTCACATCACTGATGTCTTACCAGATGCTGAAGCTATTCGTTCCACGTTTTGTCTCAAGATGAGGTTAGATTAGTACAAGTACTACTTTGATCCACTTTAGAGACTCTTCAGGGGTTTTTTGGAAATCTCAAATTCGAAAGTTTTGATTTTTTTTAGGTCTCCGACGGAAGATTTCGTTGGTGGTTACCCTTCTGATGAAGAATGGCATGGATACATTAATAACAATGATAGAGTTCTTCTAAAGGTTCGATTTTTATATATACTGAAATTAGAGTGAGATTGATTTTTTTTATATTGAGTTGTGAATTGGGTTGTTTGGAAATGATAGGTTATTAGTTACTCTTCACCAACTTCTGCTGGAGCAGAGTGCATTGATCCCGACTGTTCTTGGGTTGAGCAATGGTAACATTTTAGAATTTGTTTTTTGAGTTTTTGGTTTTTGGTTATAATTGTGTGATGGGATCATTAGGATTCACCGAGCCGGGCCGAGGGAGAAGATATACTTCAAACCGGAAGAAGTGAAGGCTGCAATTATCACTTGTGGTGGGCTTTGTCCTGGTCTCAATGATGTCATTAGACATGTGAGTTTTGTTGTCTGGAAACTTGGAATTATAGAGACAGTGTCTATGTGTGTGTCAAGTCCTACTAAAGCCCTTTCGTTGTTGTTTGGATACATTGCAGATTGTCATCACTCTTGAGATTTATGGTGTTAAGAACATTGTGGGGATTCCTTTTGGTTATCGAGGTTTCTCCGATAAAGATCTAACTGAAATGCCGGTACTGTTTGGTTTTGAACCTGAAAAAAGAACTCTTGTTATTTTATTTTTCTGTTTTTTTCCGTTTTAAGTTTAGATCTTTTGCTCTTGATCATCAGCTATCAAGGAAAGTGGTTCAGAATATTCATCTATCTGGAGGAAGCTTGCTTGGAGTTTCACGTGGAGGCCCGAGTGTGAGCGAAATTGTTGACAGCTTGGAGGTATCAATTTGGTTTTCCAATCCTTAGGAATATTCTTAGTACAAAAGTTTGTAACTTTCTGAGTTCATAGATTCTGAATTCTGAATTCTGAATATTGACTTTACTTAGGAGAGAGGAATCAACATGCTTTTCGTGCTGGGAGGAAACGGAACTCACGCTGGCGCCAATGCTATACATGATGAGGTTTGTTACTTAACACTTGATGTTTAAGTGTTACGAGTATAGCATCTTCATTTTGTATGAAATAGTTTGTCCATTTTAGTTGACTGTTTCTTGCTTTCGATTTTAGTGCCGCAAAAGAAAGATTAAGGTAGCTGTAGTTGGTGTGCCAAAAACCATTGACAATGATATTCTACATATGGATAAAACTTTTGGGTTTGATACTGCTGTTGAAGAAGCACAACGAGCAATAAACTCTGCCTACATTGAGGTAACTTTCATGTACTCGTATTTACGATATTCACTAACATGTCTTTTTGCTTTAAGTACTTAAGCATTAATATTTGGGTTTTTTTCCAATATGGTCTTTGTATTAGGCACATAGTGCTTATCATGGCATTGGTGTTGTAAAACTGATGGGTCGTAACAGTGGTTTCATTGCAATGCAAGCCTCTTTAGCTAGTGGACAAGTTGACATTTGTTTGATTCCTGAGGTACTTCGAAACTTTTGTTATTATTTTCATTTTCAAACTCATGATTGATGATGAGCTTGCTCTAAGACATATGCATCTCATTTATTCAAGGTTCCCTTCCATCTTCATGGGCCTAATGGTGTACTGAAGCATTTAAAGTACCTTATTGAAACAAAAGGCTCCGCTGTGATATGTGTAGCAGAAGGAGCAGGACAGGTAACTATGATTATACAAATCGCAATGAAGGAGTTTTTTAAACCCACCTGAGCTCTGCTTACGTTTCTTGGCATTTTGTTTCAGAATTTCCTTGAGAAAACTAATGCCAAAGATGCATCTGGAAACACAGTACTTGGTGATTTCGGTGTGTACATTCAACAAGAGGTTAGATATAAGAAAAGATTGGTTCAGATATCTCATAAAGAGTGTTGGGTAGTTGTTAAATCTTTTTACTTGCACTCTTATATTTTTCTTGTTTTAATAGACAAAGAAGTATTTCAAAGAAAAAAGTATCCCAATAGATGTGAAGTACATTGATCCAACATACATGATTCGCGCTGTCCGTGCAAATGCCTCAGATGGTATCCTCTGCACCGTTCTTGGACAAAATGCTGTAAGTCACTCTCTCATGAAAAATGTTCCAATCTGTTAAGTCCATTGAAGTTGTCACGCTTATGAATTTTCACAAACCAGGTTCATGGTGCATTTGCTGGATACAGCGGAATCACAGTAGGCATAATCAACACTCACTATGCTTATTTGCCAATCCCTGAGGTAATTGCATATCCAAAATCAGTCGATCCCAATAGTCGAATGTGGCATCGTTGCTTGACATCAACGGGTCAACCCGATTTCCTCTAGAACAATCGCATTCAATCACGAATCGGACTGATAAAAATAAGCCTCGAAATGTATATACAGCATTCTTGGTCCCTTAATATGATGTATCAAATCATATATTTATTTACTTTTTGAGTAGGAAAGATATTGAATCAGTTGAAGTTAGTTAAGAGCATTGGTTTAGTAATCTAATTTATCATTTACCAAACTTGTAGAGTTTACTTTGGACCACCTTTGTTACCTTTTTTACTTGTTCTTTGTCTCTTCCTTCAGCTTTCTCTCCTGAATCTCTCTGTTCACTTCTCTCTTTACTTCAGATAAAAACTAAAAACTGCAGTATTGCATTGTGGTCCTTCAACTTCTATGATCTTTCAATTTTTACCTGTTTAAAGTAATTGGTCCATTTTCAGTAATAACATAGAAACAGTGATGATGACGTACATAATTTATTGGAGTTTAAATTCTTATAAATTTTTACTACTCGAAATGTTTGGGTTTGTGTGTATACAAGATTAAAGATTGAATTTATATAATTTATAATTATTTTCCCCATAATACTGAAATTCTCAATATCTGAATTATCATTTCACACTTTTTTCTTTTATCTTTTTCATATAATTAAATTCAAATAATTATCTTTGTTGAATGCTAAATTAAACATTCCAACAAAAAGAATAATAATTACTGAGAACTTTTTTTTGTTTGGACAAAAATAATTACCGAGACTATAGAGTAAACAAGAGAATATGAAAATCTATGAAGTTTGCAGTAAGTTCAAAAGGTCCCCACACTTTTCACTTTTTAGATTTTGACCCTTGTTCTTTTCTTTTTACTCTTTTCCCCCATTTTACTTTTGTCTCCTTTTCATGTTTGGCATATAATTTTAAAATTTAAGAATAGTGTACATCATTTACATAGAAAAATCTCAAATCCCCAAAGTGTGGTTGATCAAAAGTTGATGAGATATACGAATAGAATAATACCCAAAGAAAGAGAGAATAAAATTACACTAAAAACTAATGACCATTACGTGTGTAATTAATGTTCGCGAGAACCAAAATCCTTCTGGTAAACATTAATTAGAGTTAGAGATCTAATCTAAACAAATGGTAAAGTTCCTATGTAATTTTATAAAAACCGTATGGCTTAAACGTGTAATTTATATCTTATCTTATAATGATAAATCAAAACATCATAAGTTATCATGGATTCGATTTCCATAATATAAGCTGACGAAAATTCGACATTAGATAAATGATAAGACCAAAGTACACTGTGTACAGTGTCTTATATGTGTTTGAGAATATTTAACAAAATAAAAAAAAAACACATAATCAGAAAATAGTTAGTTAATTTTTATAATGCGAAAGAAGAGGCATGCCGCATGCAACAACTTACATTATACAGTTGAACTTTATAATATTGGATTATACTTTATATATAGTTTATAGATATTACTGAAAATGTATAATTATTCTGAACACTAAAGTTAAAAGTTGTGTCTGAAAATCACGATGTCAAAAACTAGATTCGATTCCGTTACTGGAATCAATCCAAAAAATAACAAATTATTGTGCTGAGTATTTTGTTTTGAAATTATATGTTAAAAGATATATTTGTTTTGACACACACACAAAAAAAAAAAAATCAGTATTATTATTTCACTTCAATACCATATTAAAATTTTATATAAGAGATCTAAAACCAGTTTATATACTGTTGGAATCTCGAAACTAAACCAACTTTCCATTATGCCTATAACTCAAGCCCGCACGGATTTGTTGGGTTTCTTCCCAAAAGGCCTCGTACTAATTGGAATTGGACTTGACTTAGAAATTTCTCTTTCTAATTTTCCGATGTGGGATATTGGTTTGTATTCCAATACTCCCCTCAAACCAATATCTACTCCCCTAGGTCCACAATCTTAACATGGCTCTGATACTAATTATTGGGATCTCGAAACCAAGCCAACTTTCCATTAGTATGATATTGTACGCTTTGGGCCTATAACTCAAGCCTTTTTTCCAAAAAGTTTCATACTAATTCGAATTGGATTTGATTTATATATTAGAAACTTTTTTTTCTAATCTTCCGATGTGGGATATTGGTTTGTATTCCAATATATACGTATATAAATATATATACATCAGTAGACAAACTTCTATGCACTGAAATATTTTGTTATCATAAAATTTATAGCCGAAGTCAATGTAAGAAGATAATGTTCAGATCCAAAAATATAGAACCATGATATAAACATGCTGTCGCCAATTATATAGCCTGTACAAACACAATCCTGCATTTGGGAAGAGAATCTTATGCACTTTTATTTTGGTAGAACATTTTAAAACAACCAAACTAGTTGGTTGATCCTATTAGTTCTTCTTTATTTTAATAAAAAATGATACTATAAATTCATCATTTTTTGTGATGGTATTTATGAATTATGCTATTTTGCCTAAAATTTTATAAATTTATCAGTTTTAGGTTACGAAAAATGCGATTACGTTTAGCCAATTATATTTGAGTTTAGTATGTACTATTTGTTTTTAGTTTTTTAGTATTTGTTATAAAATGTATATATATACTAACCAAAAAAATAATAACTATGAACATTTTGAAGTGTTCAAATATGATAACTCTATAAAAGTTTAACAAAATAGCATATTCATGCCTTAAAAATGACTTCCATAAGAATTCTTATAACTTATTTAGTTATTTAAAAACAAAATATAGTGATGACTATCTCAAAACATGTAGACTACGTCATAAAACGAAATGGCGATGATGTCATTTTGTATTGTTATTAGTTAGAGGTTGTTTGATGCCACTTAAGTTTTTTTTTTAATCGACTATTGCAAACATAAACAACTTACACTAAGTTTTAGCTCAGAAATCGTATTAACAACATCAAGAAATAAAATTAGATTGGTAGAGTAAAATCTACAACAACAAACAAAAAAACCTAATCTTTCATAATATGTGCTATAGGTTTATCTCGAAAGATTGGATACTCCGTATTTGTCACATGTATAGAAAAGATAACCGCTTTGTGGATGGGTTAGCAAACAATGTTTTTTATTTATCTTTAAGGTATCATCTTTTAATTAAAAATCCGGAGTGTATTCAGACAATTTTGTTTGAGGATGTTATTGGTTGTTTCCGTCCATAGACGGTTTGTTTGTAGTTTCGTAATATTTTAATAAAAAAGGAGACATTGTCTCCCTACTCTTACAAAAAAAAAACAAACAAAAAACCTAGTTCCAAATATGGTGAGGGACAGTTCTGAAGTTATCGAAATCATACAAAACAAGAACAGTATAAACTTAAAAAAATTATTTTAATAAAATCATATTGGAAAATAACAACAGAACAAGAACACAATACACTAAAAAAAAGCCTCTGTTGGTAAAAAAGAAAAAGAAAAAAAAAACTCTAAAACCGTAAAATTTATGGTTGTTGAAAGTTGAACTCTCATAAATCTTGATGTTATTTTTGAATACTAGTATGGTAATTTTCCTTTTATCATACAATTCGTATTCAATGAAACTTAATACTATGATTAATTAGGTCATGAAAATAGAGTGCTCACACATATCTTTCATAGTTGGCTCTAACTATTATTACATGTAGCAATTAGCAAGTAGCAGCAAGCTAATAAGTGGAAGAAACGATCTAGCAAATATGATAAACTATAAACACGATTAACCTTTTTTTTAACAGTATAATATAATCTTGTAAAAGGTTAGAGTAAGTGGCACAAAGTTGTCATAATGGAAGTAAGGGAAGAAATTAAATTTTGCACACAAACATGCATTACATATATACGTTTTGAAACCCCCAAGAAGATGCTCGTCTCGTTTTACACATCACGATCTCGTTTGACAACCCACTAAAAGATTCAAATTGTTAGTATACTGATGATTTCTTCTTCTTTGTTTCATAATTAAAAAAAAAAACTCTCAACTCATCATTTTGTTAACCCAAAGTTCTTACGACGGACGTAAAGTTTTGCAAAAATCATTCGTCAAAACGTATTAATTAAAATAAATAAAAATGTCGGTATGTTATTAGTTGCTTATTATACAGTAGAGTAGTACTACATATATACATGTGTCCTTTAGTACATTGGAGTGACTTGTATATGCCTGCCTTGGGTGGTAATCACGTTTTTGATAATTTATATAACACACTATAATATATTACTAACCTAACTGCAAAAGAACATGTAAATAATATAAAAAAGAGTAATGAAATGGAAGAGAAGGCAGTAGATTCCCATCAAGGTTTCTTATGCTCAGAGATTTTTTTTATTACTTTTTTTCTTCTGAGTCTCAGACTCAGACACGAGGAGAGTGCAGCAGCCAGCAGCAGCAGAAGATGAGAGAGATGTTGACCGGTCGCATAGTCAAAACAAAACTTTGGCTGTGCCCACTAAATACCTCTTTTCAGGGCCCATTATGGTTTTTCTCTTCTCCAATCTCTATGCAAACCAATTCTCTTTTTCAAAAACCAGTATTATTGAAATCTCTTGCCTAGTAATTTAATTTTTTTAGGTTTAATTCTTGATAATGCAATTTCTTGCAGTTTATCATTTTTTTCATTATCAAAAGTTACAATTTTTAATTTTTTTGATAATTAAATGGTATACTATCAAATTTTTAATTACAATTTTTTTTATCAGTTACAAATTTTTAAATTTTTATCAGTTTTTTTTATATAATTACTAATCAATATCTTATTACGAATAAATATTATTTTGCGTCAGATAAGATTTTATACTTTACGAAAAAACTCAATTTACTATTTTCGGGTCACCTTTGAATACACAAAAAATTAACATAAAATTTTAATTTTCTTTCTATTTCTTATATATATATATATATCATATCTCTGACATTATGTAGCAACAAATAAATAAAAAGGTCCCTTGGGAGCAAGAACATGAACCTTAAGGATCATCATCATCAACAATGACTTATTAATTTTGCCGCCTTCAATGGAGCTATCTCTCTCTTTTTTTTCTTTTTCTTTTCTCTCTCACAAAACTCTCATTTCCAATCCAAATTCTTCTGATTGAAAAATGAGAAATTAAAGAAAGAAAAATAAAATTTTAATGTAAAGAAGAAGAAGGAATATAAACCAAAAATTAAAAAGGAACCTCAAATGTCATGACTCTTTTATGGATTGGAGTTGGAAAAAGCAATGTATATGACTTGACTCCTTTTATTCTCTCTCTCTCTCTCATTGTTTTCTCCTCCTCTTGTTGCTATTATTGTTGTTGTCTGGACTACTCTGTGAGGAATTTGTACATGACTCAACTGTTCTCTCTTCACTCTTATAGCTCAAACATGTTGCTTCCAACACTCCTATCGGACTCTGCGGCACCACTCTTCTCGGCTGCTCCTGCGATATACTAGTCCCAGGTGCATTCTCCCCTGTGAGATTTCTCATCAGATTCAAACATTTCCTCACTCTCTCCTGCTAAATAAAGACAATGATCAAATTCTGATGAAATGTGTGTTCTTGCAAAAATAACTATTTCGTTTCTATTCCCGCGAATCAACAATTTGGTCATGCGGGTATGTTAATATAGCCGAAGCTACAAAGCTTGAGTATTTACAACCAAACCGAAAGCTAATATATTTGATGAGTATTACCTGTTTTACATGTATGAGTTTAGACATGGCCTTCTCGTCATCAATGCAATCTGTTTCTCCTGAAATGGAAACAGACACTGCTGCTGCTGCAGCTATCTCAGAAGGCCTGAAGTCTAAGAATTCAATTTCTGCATTCAATTTTTATACACAGAAACTTATTAAAAGCCTTCTTCCCCCTTTAAACAAAGCAAAGCTAGTTTCAAAAATTGACGCACCTTTGGTGGTGTTCAAAATGAATCTTGATGATCTATAGATCGAATTCTCTGTTACTTGATTGCTGATCTTGTCGACGAAGTAATCAATGAAAGAAAATGGAGTTATAGCTTGCAATCTCCAATTCAATTTGTTGAGTACCAAAAGTTCCATCCTTTTTATTGTTTTGGCCTCAAAAACAAACTTAGGATCTCCCACCTGCTCATCAAAACCATTAAGAACATGTCAAAGATTAGTTCAGACTACACCGCGATTTTCTCGGTTGTTCCAAGACTGAGAGAAGAGGACTAAAATGTGTGTTGCACCTGTAAATCAACAATTTGAGGCACATCTGTTTCCTCCATTTTGGCTGCTAATGATAAGCAAGAGACAGCTAACAACTGAACAGCCCAAGCCTTGTCTTTCTACACAATCAAAAACACACACACGATCAGAGAATGTCTCCAAGGAAACTAGAAAAAAAAAAAAAACGGAGAAATTGATTCAACTTACTGGCAATTCATAGGATGTTAAGAACCGATCCAAGTAGTTCATGGATAGACATATGCACAGAGGTCCAAAATGGTAATGAGCACAAGCCTGTTTCAGACAAGAACAATTGGCATTAAAGACAGAACTCAATTAACTCGAAAACTCAAGTCTACTGAGAAGATCCAATTAATCTCACAAGTAGATTTTTTTTTCTTTTTCTTTTCCATTTCATCAATCTAATAAATACATCAGAAGCCTTTATTAAAACCTTAAATACGAATGATCTATCAAACTGATCAAAGAACAACACTTTAAAAAACACACACACAACAAGAAAAGTAAAAAGAGACCAATCCAGATTTGAGTGTTCTTAAAAAAAACACAGATCAACGCAATCAGAAAAGAAGAAAATCTCAAACCTTTAAAATCCAATCCAAAGCTTGGTTTCGAACACACAAATCCAAATCCCCAGAACGCAATCTCTTAACATAATCAGCTCCAGGGCAAAACTCAATCTCTCTCTCCAACATCTCTTTGATTCTGTCTTGTCTCGACGAAAACGAAGAACCCATCACCGGAATTGATCCGTCGCCGTCAAAGTTACCGTCTTTAATGAAAAGTTGATGATTATAACCAATCTTGTTCGTAAACCCGCCGCCGTAGTTGATTTCATCGTCGTTGTCAGTGATCCATGACTCGCTGGTTTCACCACAAGCGAGATTCTCGGCCATGGGGATTGATTGATTGATTGTTCTTTGTGTATTTAATAGTCTCTTTAATCGTTTATTTGGGTTCTTTCAGAGCGTTCGGACAATAAAGTTGAAACTAAGGAAGCAAAAGTCATCAAAGATGGGAGATTTCTTAGGAGGTTCTGTCTCTAAGGAACTGTGATTTTTTCATGGAGGAGAGAGAGAGAGATGAGAGAGATGAGAGGAGAGAGAGAGGTTTATACAGAGGAAGTGGGTGAGTGTGTTTTAGGGTAGAGAGGGGAGAGACCACTCCACAGAGTCGAATTGGGGGATACACAGAATATACACTAAGGGAAAGAAAAAAAATACATGTTGAATAATAAAATGAAATTATAATTATACTGTATCAGTAATATTTAATGCTATTTATTAAAATTATACTGGTAAAGAAATACTATAATTCTTAAAAATTTAGAGAAAAAAAAGAAGACAAATATTGCCAAAACTATGCTTACTACTTAGACAAATAACTTGGTAACATGCATAGTATCACTTAAACAAACCACTCTTTATATGTTCTGTTTTAAGTTAGACGGATGGTTCGTGATTTTCGCGTTGTATTGCAGAACTATTTAAAATAAGCTTAAAAAATTCAAATTTTAATAAAATACAATAGGCATCGTTCAACATAGAAAAATTGTTTTGAAATTAGATACATCAATTCGGTTGAATACTTGAAATTCAAGAAATTTATAAATGATTAGGGTTTTAAAAGAAAAAGTTTTCTCTATGCAAACGAATTATCATCTAAAATCGATTATTTAATAAACCTTAGTAGAACAAAACAATTCGAATATGGCATGTGTGATGAAGAAAAAAATGTTTTAGATAGATCAATTCATGAGAACTATTAATGAATAGGGATCTGAGTATTTTGAAATAGGTTTTCTTCATACAAAATTGATCATATTCTTTAGTCGATCATCTAAAATATATGTGTAGTAAAAGTTGAATACGGTAACAAAATCATCTTACATTTAATATGTACTATAGAAAAATGTACGGTATCTAAAATAAAAAATTAATATACAAGAAATTTACCTATATTTAATTAAAGTTATATTAACTATAATTTTGGGTCATATTTAAATGTTATTTTTTAGTAGTAACGTATTGCATGTAATATATTAAATCGAGATGGACAAATGGCACAATATAAGAAAAAGTGAAACGTTACTTTTATATTTACAATGTTAAGATTAAATCATATGCGTTACAAGATATACCATGTTTTTTAATCAACTATCTTTTAAAAACTGAAAATGAATTCCTCATGACCAATAATATTTTTATTAATTAATCAATCAAATAAATTTCAAAATGAACAAAATTCCAAGTTATTATTTTATAAAATGCGAACAATTAGAGTTTATATTTTAAATGTCTTCTTGTCTAAGGCCATGAATGTTTTGTAGTTTTTAAATGGGTTTTAGCTTTTGGTTTTTGGTTTTTGGCTTTTGGTTTTTGATTTTTTAGTTTTTGATTTTTGCTGTAGATTTTATTGTTAGAAAGCTGAAAAAAATAGTTTTTAGTTTTTATGAAGGAATTGAGCAAATTTCACAAAATCTGGTTTCCCTAAATTTAAGGAAATCTACTTTTATAAGAATCGTGAATGGCAATTTTTCTGGTTTTTTATAATCAAAAGCCAAAAACCAATCAAAAAACTGCAGCCATTCAAGGCCTAAAACTACAATCACAATTCCTTCCTCAACCATCACTACATGTGTCTGATTTTACAAAGATGGACTTGACCACTAGATCAGGATGGATGGATCGAACAAATTATTAAAGTATCTTATAAATTGCTTTACCACTTGACTACAAAATATGTGACTTTACTTTGGGTGAGACTCACGCTTATTCCACATAACCAGAAAAAAATAGTTTATAATTATAGGTTTTATATAAAAACACCAAAAGGTCCAAAAAAACAAATTCTGGCACATTTTGGTAACTCTATGGTTTTGAAAGTTGTAAGCTATTCCATATTGGGCGTAAGCCTTTGGATTTTTGTGATCCAAGCATATAGTACGATTTATTGAGAGCAATGATGATTTTAATTGTCAATACTAATCTCTTAGCTGGCTATTACCTAAACTATTTTTACGTTTTCCATGTACCATTCTCGCAGCCACCGGTAAAAGCCTTGTCGAGCATCATTTTCTTATGAACAAAGCTAACCACAAAGGAGCATCGTCGGAAAGGGCTCGTTGGCGAAAACCGGTTTCTTCGAATTTTCGATGTTACCACGAAGCCATAGAATCTTGAATTCGTTGGATTTAATGTGTCGTGCAAAGTTTTCGATTTCCCCTTTGTTACTGGATTGTTGTAAGGTCTCGGTTCAACTCATTTGGGACGTTTTAGTATATATATTTGTTTGATAAAACAAGCTAACCAAATGGTCACGATTGAGCATGTTTCTTATGAGAACCCATCATCAATCGCCAAATCCATCCAAGAAACAAGAAGTGTCAAAACTGACACTTTTCTTACTAGCTTGTCACAAAAATTGAAGTAAAAATTAAATAGATCATTCTTTTTTGGTCGGATTAAGTAGATCATTCCATTACATAAAATAAATATATCCTATAATGTAATATTGAAAATTTTGTTTATTTACCCAATCCATCATATATTCGAATTGATTGATCAATATAAATCAGTCCAGTCAAAGCCCATAAATAAAATCTGAGGCCTTAAAAGCCTAATAAGTTAAATAACTTAGCAGAGCCCATTAGCTAAAACCCTAAAGACTTCCTCTATAAGTACCTCATCTTGTTGAAAAACAGAGAAACCCTAAATTATCACTCCGCTTCTTGCTTTATATCTCCACTACTCAAGTTTTCTTCTACGATATGCTGTTTTTGAAATCCTAAACACTATAAGTAGTATAGGTAATGGTAATCTATAGATGTTTCTGGCTCTGTCTCGATCTTATAGGGGAATGTTAAGTTAGTCCTGCTTAGTGTTTTAGTCTCGTGTTCTGTATTTCCAGATGTTGTAGCGATTTATGTGAATTTTCTTACTTATGGTTGCAATGATGAGATCTTATTTGATTAATCGAAAGTGTTTACACTTAATGAACGGTCGACAAAAATGTCGAACCTGAGCGGTTAGCTGAGCAACCATTTATTAAATTTCAAGACTTTGCTTAGAGTTCTTGTTTATATTTTCTTGGTTTGTTTTGTTGTTGCCATGATGAGGAAAAATATGATTTGAAAGCATTGTGCTTTATGAGTCAGCGAGCGACTATAATGTCGACCTGAGCGGTTAACTGAGCAACTACAAAACATCATCACTCGATTCTTTGAAATTCAGATTTTACATTTTGTTTTTTTTTGTGAATCTTGTCTTTGTTGTGTGTTCTTGAAGTGACTATTCCTGGTCTACTGGTTGGCTCCAATTACGTTTTAATAGCTTCATGGAAACTATAATCAATTGTATTCTTAGTATAATATAATGGCTTAACTCTTGTATGTATTGTCACATTGAAATACTTGTGTTAGTGATTGTTTAAGACAGGATTCAACCAAGTTCATTGAATCGGTTAAGGCATAGTCTTTAAAGGACAAGGAGAAAGATAAACTAGTTCAAGACTATAATAGAGCCAATCTAAATCTTGATGGCCGTTGTGTGGGGCAGAGCAATAGATGTCCACTAGTAAAATGATGTCGGCATTTTGTATTGGACAAGTACTCTCCAGTGTCAACATCTGATTTCGTACCAAGTTATTTTGCTAAGTGACTACTTGTTTGGTTTTTTATTGATATTGGTTTGTAAAGTGTGGATGATATCAAGAGAAGTAAATATCAAACAAAATTTGACTGCTAATAGCATCTTTTAGTGAAAGATGAGTTGGGTTTATAGGTCGGTTCAATTACATAAACACCACACTTATGGTAACGGAATAGTTTTGTAAGCTCTATGTTGTTTGGTATGATGTTTTGTAAAGCGGTTTTGTATCCTATTCGAAAAGTGAAACATTCTCTTCTTATGGACAAAAGAGATTCTCCATACAAAGCTGAGAAAAGGGTCACCGAGAAGATCAGGAAACTCTTAAAACAAAAGAGTTTTGAAAGAACCTCTCTTTGTCTATAAGAAGAGAACAATCTATATCAACGCAGCGAATGATATGAACGTATCAGATTCTTCTAGTTCTTGATGACTTAAAAAGAGAATAACGTTTGAGTCGGTAAACGTGTGGAAAGTGTTCGACGCGTTTTCATATATAAGTTTATGATGTTGTTGTAGTGAGATTCCCACATGGTAACGTATGTGTTAAACTAAAGCCATCTCAAATCTCATACACGTGGGTGCTTGTTACTGATTCTTGGTCTTGTCTTTTTATGAACTCTTCTGGTTGTTTGACTTGTTGTAATCTTAACGTTTTTGCTTGCGATGTTTCATTGTCATCAACTTGTTGTTTTATACATTGAATTATATTGATATCTTATCATAGGAATGGTTCTTCAGAAACTAATTTTACAGAACTATTTGAACATGTCCAAAAGTTATACTCATTTAAAAACTAAATAAAATATACATCACTGATATTGTTAGTCTATATAATATAAAACTATCACAGCTAATGATATGTTTTGTGTATATGCAAGCAATGATCAAGAAATTAGAGTATAGCTGGCGTTGGGCGTAATCCGACACCTAAGGATTTTGAGGGTGTTGATTGTTTAAACTTTTAGTTCATACCTATTTCAATTTGGTGGTTTTATAGTGGAGGTTATGAGTAAAAACTTGATATTTACGGAGTGCTAATAGCTCAATTAGTAAAGATTTCCGGCAAAAGCTTAGAGGTCGCCGGTTCGAGTAGCGCTTAACACAAAACCATATAACATGCTTTGGTTTCGGGTCTGATGGAATGTATAGGTTTCGGCCTGAAAGTTTGTGCATACCATTTGTATTGGTTTGATTTGTTTGGATTTGAGTTTTAGTCAAAAATACATATTTACGGGGATATTATTCTATTTTAACAGAATTGAAATCTTATCACAATTAATTTTATTCAACTCATGTTAAATCATATTTTAAAATATGGGGTTATTAAATCTTATCTTAGATTTGTAAATTATGTTAATAGATTTTAAAATCTGTGTGTTATTTAATTAGGATTTTAAAGTTCAAATATTTATTTGATACTATTTTTTTTTTTTTGTAAAATTAAGTAGTCTTTTTCCAAAGAAAAAACGTCTAGTCTAGTCATGTGCGTTCGAGTATTCGGTTTGGCTTTGCATATTTTTCGTAGAGGAATTTTATGATCTATTCGGATATTTTAGTGTAGTCCATTCTTGAAAATTTATTACTTTAGGATCTTTGTAAAGATTCATCTTTGAATAATAAACAATTTCCTTGAAACAAAGAAAGAATATTACATGGTTCAAAACTAACATAAATGAACCTAAATAATTGAATTGAGCAAGAAAACTTGCTTTTGAAAAATTAGGTGATGCACTGCTTTCTTGAACATTGATTACTACAAAGATTGGAAAATCTTAGTGGAAAAAAAATCTTTTTAACGAATCATCTTTTTTTGACTAATAAAAGGTTTACGACGAAAAGAAAAGAATATTACATAGTTCAAAAATAAACATAAACGAATCTAATTATTCGATAGAGACTCAGTAAATGCCTCCCTTGAATAATGAATCAAATATAACTGTTTCTTTTCTTTCTTTCTCATATCATGAGAACAAGTTTCATATCAAAGACATAGATCTCTCTGTTCGAACAAATGTAAAAACAAAAATAATACTTTTTAATATCAAAACTACTAAAAATTAATTTAAAGAACATATAAGAATTTATTCGCCACCATCATCAGAATTTTCAACTTTTTCATCAAAAGTCAAAGTCTTGGAACACCTTGCGAACTTGTTCAAGCGTAACAAACAGAACCACCGTGAACGGTGCTTGTCTCGAAACCGTCGGCACAAACCCTTTATATAAAGCCATAATCCCCTCCGCCTTCACCGTCTTCAAAGCACAATCAATCGCTCCTTTATACGGCGGCGCAACTCCAGCCACCACCTTCATGTTCATCACTCTCGTCTTGATCACATCGACAGGGTTCGAAGCAACACTAGCCACGAACCCTGCAGCAGTACTAGCCAACACATGAGTCAGAAGCCCATCAGGCACCCACCCTTTCTCCAAAATCGTCTCTTTAACCGAATCATACGAAGCTAACTGCGACGAAGTCACAAGCATTGCTCTGTTTATAGTCAAAGACGAACCTCTCCACAACGATGTAACTCCTTCGCTGCGGATCATTTGCGTGATTGCGTCTAAAACGCTTTTGTAGTTTCTCCTCTGAGCCAAAGGTAAACGACCGTCGGCTTGCATTCTCACCATGGCTACATCCGCCGGATTCCCAACTGCCGCACCGATAGCTCCGGCGATGAATCCGGCACCGAGTTTTCTAGTTAAAGGCATGGTTTTTGTTTCTGGGTCGGTCCATTTGCCTTTGAGGATATCGTATAAACCCATACGAGTTGTCGAATAAAGACATTGACGAAGCATTGTGGCGGAGACGCCGGAGAACAGAGCACGTACGCCTTCTTCTCGGATTAAACGAGATCCGACTCCGATTACACCAACGCGGAGAGGAGGCGCGGTGGCGACGGTGGTTGAGGATTGAAAAGCGAGAGCTGGTCGGAGATTGGTTTGGACAGAACCTGATTCGCCTTGGAGTTGCATTCGGACCTTGATCAGATCAAGCGGGTGGGTTGAACAACCCGCTACGATCGATGCGATTCCTCCTTCAGCGAAACCCTTAACACCCATTTCGGAGAAATCGAAGAAAAATCAAAACTTTGAAAAAACAAAAACAGAGAGGGAGAGAGAGAGCTTTTGGTGTTTTCCGGGAAAACAGGCGAGAAAATTGAAAAAAAAAGGTTAGATTTTTATTTGGTTTTCTTTTAGAGAGACCAGTTAGAATTAGAGCTGATCTCACTGGAGATAAAGAGATGAGAATGGAGACAAAAAGCTATAGTTGAAGAATGAGGAATCAGAGGTCTTTGAGACATAAGCTGTTCAAAAACAGAGGTTTTTTTTTAGGTTTGTGTAATAATGTCTCTGAGAGAGGTTGAGAGAATGTGTTTTGAGGTTGAAGACGAAAGTGTTTAAATAAGGGAAGAGAGAAAAAGAGGAAACGCGGAGACTTGTTGCTATTTTGCGCCGAAAGAAAGAGAAACTCTTTTTCCTATCAAATTTGTGTTTATTTTTCTTTTACTTTCCTTTTTCTTCTTTTTTATAAATATTTACATCTTTTTTTTGACTAAATAATGTCAATTCTTATTTATTAGCCTAATTGTTCAAGGAAATTTTGATTAATGAAAAAATATGAAAATAGGCAAAGAATATATATAGGATCCAATTGGTGATATAAAAAGCAACATTTCCTTTTTCTACAAAAAAAAAAACATTTCTTTTTGCTGTTGAATCTAATTGACGTTGAAAAAATTTTAATCGCAAAAATATAGCATTTTCCGCAACATCAACCTGCAACAATCGAACGAACAAGGATACAAGAATTTGCTGCTAGAATAGTAAAAAAGAGAGCCATCACACAAGACTACTAAAGAGTTCTCCACTCTTGAAGATGGGTTTGATATGTATCCCTTCTTCACATGCAATTTCTGGTATATGATATGATATGATATACCCAAATAACATATTTTTGATTGGTAATTATTAAAGTGGTAAACCGTATTAAAGATCATTTGTATCGATAAATCCGTAAATCCTTAAAAGAGAACCTCTCAATACTTTTTTTTCCAAATTCGTAAGCTTTTTGTGCATAGAAAACCATCACCCAAGAGGCCAAGACTATGAGTTCTCCACGCTTCAAGAGGAGTTTGATATGTATCCTTCTTCACATGCAACATGCATGTACCATAAATTCATTTCTCTTTAACTATTAGGTTTTTCTTAATGAGAAGACTTCACTTTCAATTTCTTCTACTAACATAATTGACATTACGAATACACAATGTTAATGAAAATGAAAAATCAACTTTGACGCCAAAGAAAAACACAAACAGTGGTATAATAATTGGTTATGGCATCATTGTCACTTCTTGTTGTGAATTCGTACAAGATTGACAGTGTTATCATTCTATTCATTGGTATTTTTTCATTGGTATACATAGAGATTTTAAAGGATACTTTTTCCCTCAGTTGAATTATTTTGCCACACCCCACCACATGGGATGCTTCTTTCTTTGTTCTTCTTAGCTTCCATGTTTGATTATTCCTTGATGAATAATAGATTCCTTTTCTCATCAACTGTTTAAAATTTTATTTCATAAGATTGTGATCTTCTTTGTGTCTAATAATGGAATGCGATGGTTTAAACAAAGATGGTTTAGTTTTGTGGCTTGATTTATTTTCTTAAATCTAATGGTTGAATCACAACTATTTTATTCGCATAATATAAACGGTTCACTTGTTAAAAAAAAATTAAAGCTTTTCGTTGTTATATAAAATACATAAACTTATGCGGAACACTCGGAAAAAAGAACTTGTTCTCTCTTTTTATCTCCCCAATTCATTTTCAAACATTAATTGAAAAAAATATATAAATTTACTTTTTTCTTGGTCAATCAGTTTCATAATGGAAATTTTAATTTGGATGGTGAACCAACAACAATAATTACATAAATTCGTAGACTACAAATCTCAATCAAATTAATAGTTTTATTAAAAAAATGAGTTTTTCCAAGAAATTAGTTGTTGCTTTTATATAAGATAACAGAGGACTTTAACTAAATTTTCATTTAGTTTCATTAAAATATATAAATTCCTGAAAATGCTTTATTTACATATACTTTTTCATTGTTGTCTAAATTATTTTTATTTTATTTTATGTCATATAAAATACCAAATCGGATAGTTTTTTTTTAAATTAACTAATAGCTGATGAATAACTAATTTCTTACATACACTTCTTAATAGGTTTTATATTATGGCATTTGTTGTTTGTTTTTTTTTTTTTTGGACAAAGGCATTTGCTGTTATGTAGTTAAACGTGCAACCAGACTATTAACTAACGAATTATTCCGTTATTTAGTAAAAAGATATAGAGAATAATGGAATCAGAAACTATACTGTAAAATTTGTGTCAGAGGTCTTAGAACCATCAAAATGGTGACCATATAGTATAAAAGCTCTCTGCTTAAAATAAAATAAAAGTTCAAAGATTCTTCTTCTTACAGCCTCAGCCCTCAGCTACCTACCTTTCCTCACTAGGCGATCGATGGCTCTGCTTCTTACTGCAGCATCTCATGAAAAATATATTCCACGTTTGTTTTATTTTTATCATTTCTGCACTCGAATACAAAACTCATGCATGGTTGTTGTCGACAAAACCATGAAACAATTAAAAAAAAAAAACCTTTATCACTTTTGTTTGGTCGCTTTAATCATCTTCACTTGACTCGCTAGCTGTTTGATTATTCAACATATCTTTGATTTAGGATTATTTCGTTCATCGAAACTAAAAAAAAAAAAAAAGTTATGTATGTATTTTACCAAAAACAAAAAAAAGGTTATGCAATTCTTTTTTTTTTTTTTTTTTGTTATGTAATTCTTGATCCAATCAGAAAACATATGATCTTTATTTTCTTGCCTCAATAATATCAATTGTGTACCAACGTATTTATTTATCTTTGCGGTGAACCACGAGTTTGGTCACATGACAAAACATCTTTGCTCAATTTGTCTAGTGTCTACCACGTCTCTGATTTTTATAAAAGAAATCGATATTTTCACATGACAAATCGTTTTTAACTTTATTTTGTTTTTGTCCATAAATAGTTAGATGAGATTTATTATCCATAAATATAACGTTGTTGACGTTTTTACCATTTTCTATAACAAACAATTCAACCTTGTGTAAAGTCGTAACTCGGAGATGGTTGCGCAATGTTGGCGTGCGGAAGCCACGCGCAAGGGCATGGTCTTAACTCTTAAGTCTAAACCAGACAGTCCTATTATAAATTTTCAAATAAGCTTCTGACTTTTCCCATTTATACATAATTTTTGTTTTTTAATTACAATTTTAAATTAGCCATCGTCAACTAATAAAATAAAAAACTTTTTCACTAGAGATAAAGATTCAGAAAAGAAAAAAAGTTCCAGCTATGTATATGTTTGTCTAGTCTAATACTCTAACAAGCTTTGTCAAATCATTAAATTACAATTAGACATTATAAAAGACTAATATGATTATCATCAGGGTGACTTTCGAACGTACTCTTAACTTATTGTATATATTTTAAATTTGTTTTCCAACTGTTGTGGATAGATTGGTGCAAGATTACAATTATAAACTTTATCTAGTTTTGGTTATATATACCTTTGGATTAAAGAAGTTTATAATCCACATATATTGTTATCTCCTACTATCAAGAAAAAGTATTTCAATATAATTTCGCAACAAATGGGATCACTTTGTTATTTAAAACATTGCTTTCACCATTAAAATAAAAATCTAAATTAATCGCAGAAATAAATAATGATTGTGATGTTAAAATGTAATCACATTTTTTTCGTCCGGTCTTGTACCGGCACGAACTGAGTTATACCATCATTGACTTTGTATGAAGAAACATTAGCCCTGGGCAAAATATTCGTTAGATTCGCTTCGTTTCGATATTCGTTAGATTCGATTCGCTTTGATATTCGTTTCGATTCGATTCGAAAAATTCAAATATCTATAAGATATTGAACCGAAGCAAATATGAAAATCTAATATTCGTAAAAATCGAAGCAAATAACAAATATTGATTTTTTTAGTACCGAATATCCGCTTCGCTTCGTATATTTATATATATGTATAAATATAAGTTATTATATAATACATATAATATATATAATATGTGTATTTATAGATTTGGGTATATATCTGATAAGTCTATTATCAAATTATTATATTTTGGCTCGTTGGGTTTTTTTTTTTGCTAAATGATGTTTTTAAGCAAATAAAACTTTACTAGAAAAATCATTATTAAAAATAAAATGTGAGAATTCTATGGACGGTGGTTATATTTCCTTCTTATTTTGAAAATATGTCAAATAAAAACCTCTAATATTTCATATTTTGCACTTTATATTTATGTATTATATGTTTTTTGTTTCAAAAAGAAATTAGATGGGTCGAAGCAAAGCGAAACAAGTAATTCGCAAATATTACGAAAAATATTCGAATATTCGAAGTTCCGAATACTCGTAAATTTACGAATCGAAGCAAATAGCAAAATCAACTATTCGGTCGAGGCGAAGCAAATAACAAATATCACAAATTTTCCAAATATTCGCTTCGTGCGCAGGGCTAAGAAACATAATTACGCAACAAAGAAAGGAAGAAGAAGAAGAAACAACAAAATTAAAATATAAATTTTTAATTTAATTAAGCAAATAAAGCACGATTTATTAGTGAATACTGCGTGTGGCCCGAAGAAGACATTTGGGCCAAATATAGTCTAAAAGAGTTGACTATTGACTTTTTTGTTTACCTCTCCCGCCAAACTAAAAGCCGTTTCCAAGATCTTCTTACCAAAACTCACACGTGTCACCTAAGATGTCGGAGGAGTGGCCTAGAGCTGTTGACTCTTGACCTTAAGAAGAAGAAACACATGTATATATGTTCGTAGTGAAATCTTGTGGAGCTTACAACAACCGAAGTGCAAAAGTTAAGGAGGATACTGTATCGTCTTCGAAACCAGATACTAGTTAAGTGAATTCTACTATTCTAGAGCCGTGATGATGCATATGCGCGCGGATGGGTCAAAAAGGTTCTTCAAATACCACAATCTACAATACATCATTTGACAGAGGATCACATAAGAGGATGGATCCAAGAAAGTTTTTTTCCAATTTACAAAAGTCGTGGCCAGACCCAATCTCTAAAAAGTCGTAGCTACCTATACGGCCCATTATATGAAAACATTTGGTCTTCGGTTTTGGCCTTTTGGGTAAATTGCTACTGCTCATTGAGAATACTTTATGGATTATATATATCATCACATAGATTAGGCTAAGTTCTGGGCCTGGGCTTTCATCGTAAGGGACAAGTCGTATTATTCATATCATTCAGGTTTCTTCTAAAATTGTTGGTGGTGATCCTTGAATTGTTCATGTTATTAGTCTCTCTCTCACGTAAGCTTGTTGGAGCTATTAATCGTTGATTAATATGTGATTTTTGAGAATCTCTCATGGGATATTAGTTGCTTATGCAAACATTTCAGGGAATTATAGTTCTTTCTTCTATTATTATTTTGTTGCACCGAGAGATCAATCAAAGCAAGTAGTGATTAGAATATGAATAAGCTGTAAATATTACAAAGGAAACTAAAACATGGCAGAAACAGAAACAACAAGAAAAACAAGGACAACATCAAACAACATCATAGCTAATATAATAAGAAAACATGACAACCACTTGCTAACAAAGTGTGTAAGATAAAAAAAAAAGATGGTAATATTGTGTTGTGTGGCAGTAGCTAGCTAGCTAAAGAGAGCTTAGCTTCTCATTTGGAAGGTGGTGGAGTGAAGAATGGGAAGGTTGGTATGCTGGTGGGAAGATTGAATGGGAAGTTGCTTGGGATAGAAACTGGGAAGTTAGGGATATTGATCTGTGGGAAGTTTGGGATATTAATGGGTTGTGCTGGATTAGTCAAAGGAGGTATCTGTGAGCCTTGTAGTGGTGGAAACGCCGTGGGCTGAGGAAGAGAAGTAGAAGGAGGAAATGGTGGGAACGTTGTTGCAGCCGGTGGTGGAAGCGCCGCTGGTGTTGATTGAAGAAGATGGCGACTAGCTGAGAGACCAGTGAAAAAGCTTGTGAATGTCAGTGCAATGACAAGGGATGATAACCAGTACTGAGCCATTTTTGGGGATTGTATGGTTTTGTTGTTGTCACTAGAGAGAGGTTTGAGAGTGTGAGTGGTGATGGAGAGATTATGGAGTTTGGTATGTATTTATAGAGGGTTTGAGGTTTGATGAGAAGTAGGTTTGAAGAGGATTATTGTTGTTGCAACTTATTAACACATTTCCGTGTTCTACAACCACAAGTAAGATGCAATATGGGTCACTTCTAACTAGAAACAACCATGACACAAAGGCACTTTTAGGTAAATCCGGTTTAATGTTTTTGTATTATGTTTTATTTAAATAAAATATAACTTCACAAACGAGAGAATTGCTGGAAAATTTTATTATATTTGATATAAAAATTAAAAATTATCAAACCAATATTTTTAATTTTAAGTATACAAAAGCGAATATATATTGTTCAATTTATATCGGAAGAGATTAGGTAAAAAGCAAAAAGAAAAAAAAGGAAAATCAGTTTAATTGGATGGATGTTTTACAATTGAATATAGGAATTACTTTGTTTACAACTAATATTATGTTTGGTCAACCAACCAAAAAGAGATTTGATTAAATATGGGTTGAGAGCGTTTATTCTTGGGATAGCCTACATGAAAAAAATAGTTACGACAGAATTTAAAAGTTTTAGACGGTTGTGACTGAATATCATACCCTAGTAATTATGTAATTTTGATAAATAATAATAAAAAATTATGTAATTTTGATAAATAATAATAAAAATATTATGTAGTTTTGCAAGTTAGATCTAAATCGCGTACCAAGAAAAATAGGAAATTCACAACAAGAAGTCAAGAACACGTACATAATTATATCATAACTTGACGGATAATTTTATCTCTTATCAGTAATCAAAAAAGTTAAAGATTTAGATTATGCGAAATGCTAATTAAGTAAACCAAAATCTAAAATCTATTTAATTTTTTTTTACATTGTCATATGTCTGTCTATGCCGTTCAATTTCTTACAAAACACGGGAACTAGATTCTACTTAAGACCGCCTTAAACCGTGAAATCACAATCTAAACCGAATCCGGTTAAAGAGAATCAAACAGTAAATCAAGAGATCGTTTGGTGGTTCGTTAGCAAATGAGTGCTGCCCCGTTACCGAGACACATGCCAAATTGCCAATTCCAAATTTTCGAAGGAAAACAAAAAAAAAAGTTAACTAAGCATATACATATTGTTAAGTTAAGTCATACAAAAAGAAAAAAAGGGAAACATATCACATATTTTCCTTTTTGCTTAATTCCAATTCCTATTTAGAGTTTTAAAGAACTCAACGTAATGATGATTATAAATAAACCTCTAACATATTCATTATTTCTCACAATTCAATCTATCAAAGCTAATCTCCTTCGTCTAAACTAAACACGAAGAAGAATACTCTACTGTTCTTGAATAATCGACCATAAAAAAATCTCACTTGAACATGTCGATTACGTTGGTACACCGTTACCTTGTCCGAGACTTTTTCGCTGTTCCGTTTCTTACACCACAAGGAATCGGTTACCACCACTTTTGTCGTAACTCCTTCTTACATGTTCCTCAAAGAGTTGTTCCTCTCTTGGGTTTGAAGAAGCGTTCACAAAAGCCTTACTTCAAACCTTCTACTACCGGAAAGCCGCAACAATCTAACCCCGATCCTGTTCATGATGAGAAGCCTAAGCCTGTTCAAGCTGAAGCACCACCACCACCACCACCGACTAAAGAACCAGAATATTTTGATGGTTCGGTCACCATGGGTGCTGCTCCTTCGCCAAGACACGTACCGATTCCGATGTTTTATGTTAGAGAGAAGATCAAAGAGTCCTCCAAGCTAACCAAGACTTGAATGAGATAATTCAAGAGACCAATCTTTTTTATTTTTTAGAGTTTCTTTGTTAATTGCTATTATCACCTTTGTATGTGGCAATTTTTCTGTTCAGTAACCAAATTGTGACCAATGTTTACTGTACTAGAGTCACAAGTTGTAAAGCTGTTCTATTTTACAATTGTTATAAATAAAAAGAAATTCTAGTTGATCAGAATGGTGAAATCAAACAAGTAGATTCAGAGTATCTTCTACATTCAAATCTCAGGATCACTGTATCTAGCTATATTAACCTCTCTCTCCTCCTACATATAATAACTACGAGTTGTCGTGTCTAGATCTATTGCTTCTACGGACAAAGAAAGCGTAAGTTACAGTAACAGCTACGATACAACAATCTCCGATGGCACAGAGAGGTTGCAGTAGGTACCTGTTTCCCATTGTTCACCAACACAATCAAACAACAATTAACACCACTAAATAAAAAGAAAAAAAGAACTAAAGGATGATGATTTTTGGAGACAGAAGCAAAGACTTACTTGGGAGAGAAGACACTCTACACAAAGAGGTGATTCCTCATGAGTAGCGTTAAGAGTACTGAGTTCATGTAGAGCGGAACAAGACAAGGGAACCCGAGCTTTAGCTTCAAAATTTGTCCAAGAATTGTTTCCGGATGAGTTGATATTGTCAAATGTGATTGGTTTCTTAGTTTTGCACCAACGTACTGTACATGACAAGGGATAAAAGGAACAGCATGGGAGATGCATATATACGTGATCATGAACATATCAAGATCCCAGACAGATAGTATTGTAGAATGACTAGAGATTCTCTACGAAATAGGGTTTTTGAATGTGAGTGTACATACGGAAGAAACCGAAAACAAAAATCGAGAGACCAACGATCTGAAGGAATATTCCGGCCACTATTGTGTTTTTCGATTTAAAATATTCTTAATATTTATGTTTATTTTTGAATAAAAGACTTTGGTTAATTATTGCTAGAAATAAAATTAGCTTAATCATATCTTCAAATAAAATAATATAATGTGTAATATTATTTTAATCAAATAAAAGAATATATGATTAACATAATTTTATTTGAAGATATAAAGAATACAATGTGAAAAATTAGGAGTATATTATTTTAACGTAAATAATTAATACAAATAGTGTTTGTCGGCAAAAACGTTTCTTTTAAAACCGCTAAAACCGTGAAATCACAATCTCTTAATCGAACATTAAATTAGGAGATCTATTTGTTGGTTCGGTCACTATGAATGCTGCTCCGTCATCGAGACACGTGCCAGTTCCAAATTTTTGAAGGAAAAAAAAAGGTAACATATCAGATTTTTCCTTTTTGCTTAACTCCAAATTTCCAATTCCTAGTAAAGTTTTGATGAACTCAACGTAACGATGATTATAAATAAACCACTAACCCTCTCAATTATTTCACACAATTCAATCGATCAAAAGCTCTCTCCTTCGTTTTAAAAGCTAAAGACTAAGAAGAGTACTCTGCTATTCTCACTTGAACATGTCGATTACGTTGATACACCGTTACCTTGTCCGAGACTTTTTCGCTGTTCCGTTTCTTACACCATACGGAATCGGTTACCACCACTTTTGTCGTAACTCCTTCTTACATGTTCCTCAAAGAGTTGTTCCTCCTCTCTTGGGTTTGAAGAAACGTCCACAAAAGCCTTACTTCAAACCTTCTACTACCGAGAAGCCGCAATCTAACCCCGATCCTGTTCATGATGAGAAGCCTAAGCCTGTTCAAGCTAAAGCACCACCGACTCAAGAAGCGGAATTTTTTGATGGTTTGGTCACCATGGGTGCTGCTCCTTCACCAAGACACGTACCGATCCCGATGTTTTATGTTCGAGAGAAGATCAAAGAGTCCTCCAAGCTAACCAAGACTTGAATGAGATAATTCAAGAGACCAATCTTTTTTAGTTGCAATTATTACCTTTTGTTTGTGGCAATTTTTTTGTTCAGTAATCACTTTCACCAATGTTTACTGTACTAGAGTAGAGTCACAAGTTGTAAAGGTGTTTTTTTTTTTTACATTAGAAAAAAAAAATACTAGTTTATCAGATTCATGTGAAATCAAACAAGTGGATTCAAAGTTTCTCCTACATTCAAGTCTCAGAATCACGGTATCTATAGTTCTCTACTAATCTCTCTCTCCCCCTACATAATAACTACGAGTTGTCTTGTCTAGATCTATTGCTTCTACAGAAGGTAGTGACAAAGAAAGCGTAAGTTACAGTAACAGCTAAGATACAAACTCCGATGTATGTGCACAGAGTGGTTGCACACACATATAGGTACCTGTTTCCCATTGTTCACCAACACAATCAAACAACAATTAAATAACTGAAGAAGAATAAAAAAAGAACAATGCAATGGTGAGCAAAGACTTACTTGGGAGAGAAGACGCTCCACACAAAGAGGTGATTCCTCATGAGTAGCAAGACCACAGTGTATGCGGTCAAGAGTATTGAGTTGATGCAGAGCGGAACAAGACAAGGGAACCCGAGATTTAGCTTCAAAATATGTCCAAGACTTGTTTCCGGTTGAGTTGATATTGTTGAATGTGATTGGTTTCTTAGTTTCGCACCAATGTACATGACAAGGGATAAAAGGAACAGCATGGGAGATGCATACGTGATCATGAACATCAAGATCCCAGATAGTATTGTAGAATGACTAGAGATTCCCTACGAAAAAGGGTTTGGTGAATGTGTTAGTGTTATGATAAATGTAAATACGGAAGATGAATCAGAAAAAAAAAAAAAAAGAGGAAGTAGGCTTACGATAAAAGCACCAGCAACATCGATGGTTGCTAAAGTATTGCTGTTTCCAAGAGCAAAGTGACCTGCCATTCCCATGTAATACAGTGCAGCAATCTACAAAGAGAAACATCAAAACTTTGAGCTTTTTGAGGTAGAAATCCCAGACAAAGAACAAAAAGAAAAACTAACCTCGACCCATTCATTCACTTGAAAACCATGAGAAGAAAGACAAGAAACTGCTAAAGTTTGGATAAGAAGCAAAAGCATAGGCCCCGAGTTGATCGGTTGTTGGAGAAGTAGCTGTAGAAGACACCAACATAGTATGTATGCAGAGCCAATCAAATACAAGCAGTCACCTGCTTCAGCTAGAAAGGACTTGTCTTTTTTTAGGATAGACCATGGCAAAACTAAAGCAGATCCAATCGCAGATATAAATAGAAGCAAATAGATAATTTTTACTATGACAGTGGCTCCAAATTCAGTTGACACTTCAAACATTTCATCCTGATATCTCCCAGCATGCAGCAAGATTAGGAACCCACAAGTTAGGAAGCTCAAAGCTAGGACGCAGACACTCTTTCTCTTTGATCCTGTGCGAGAGACGGTAAACAGTCCTAGACCAATAACAAGGACGATTGAGATCAGGTGAATCCATTTCACATAACCACTGCCAACTTGCTCTAGCCACTTAGAAATATCAGTAACGTAAGTCCAGTTCACGCCCCCTTGACGCCAACCTCTTAGTAGTCTACCAGATATAAGAAGCAAGAAGATAGAACCGACTTTGTAGTCCCCGAGTATGTTCCTCCCCTTGGAAAAATCAAATATCTTCGCTGTCTTGAAGAGTAACAGAAGATGGAATGTGGATGCCATGAAATGCCATATATAGTGCTCTTCTTCCACCATTGAACTTGATCCCATGCTTATAACAAGGATCACAAGAACAGCAAAAATGAACACCTCTTCTAAATTTAACCAATAACTTAAACTGCAGACTTGATCCTTGGGTTCTTGGTAAACCTCTTTCAATAAGGACAGAAAAAGAGTTACACAGACGAAGCATGAAAGAAGCATGGCACTCAACCCAAGACCGAGTAAGAAAACTGGTTTCTGCAAACATAAAAGAGTTTTGTTATGATTAAACTAGATTTTTACTGGACTTGTGAACTATTGACAATTGACAATCGTCATTTTTCTTAAATACTTTCATGGAACTCTAAGAAAAGATGCCAAACATACTTCAGTGGTTTTGCTTGCTAACCACTCACTTGCAGTTTTCAAGAAGGTGTCATATGCATCTAAAGCTCGGCTGAAATCTTCCATGGCACTAGAAGACCTATCAAACATGAAAGCATCCTTGAAATTAGTTATATCAAATTCAAACTCAGGAGGAGCACGGTATGTGGAAGTCTCATACAAATCACGCACTCTGTCAATTTCTTGGCCTTCCAAATGTTGTGAAGAACAGCGGCGTTCCTAAACAAGCAAATAAGCTGTTTCTCTTTATCCCCAGAGCACTCGCTAATATCCAAACCAAGGCCCTCACAAATTCCATCAACAAAGCAATTGCAGGAAAAACCTTCAAACAAGGAACTTGGTATCTGTGCTTGCATTAGTCTGAGTAACTGCCATGAATTCAATTCTAGTGCCCGTAGTTGCTCATAATCTGAAACGAGAAGACACAGTAAAGTAAAAATGCATCCCCACACGTTTGACGAAAAATTCGAGAGGCCAATAGCGCTTAACCTCGTAAAGAATTGAGAATTCCTGGGACAACCACTCCAACATTGTTCTTTGGGATCGGCACACCAAACAGAAGAGCTAAAGTTGGTGTCAAATCTACCTACAATACAAGGTTTCATATCATGTATAGCTCATTATTATGAACAGTCTGTCCAGAAAAAGCAAATGCTTGCTTGACTGACAGGAAAAGAGATCAAAGAGATCTCACGAAAATTGCAGTGACTGTTCTACCTGGAAAGCTAAATTATTGGTTGCTGCACCATAATCAGAAACATTGCTTCTCAACCCAATGAAGAGCATTAAGGAGTCAGTTTCTTCATATGATGATCCTCCATGATTTCCATTATCGGTCATGCCATGATCACTGACAACTATCTGTATATGAAACCCAAATAAGATTACTCTTGACATATGAAATTCATGGACCTTATAACACGGAAAATACTCACCAAAAGAGTTTGTCCTTGGTCATGGTCACGATCCATCATCCCCCTTAAATGCATTGTTCTAACTATGTCATCCATTTCTTTAAGTTTTGCAGCCATCAAAGGGCTAGAATAAAGAAACATCTAATAAGATGATTCAGCCATACAACTAGTAACCTTAACGATTCTACTCACAAATGGGTTAGGTAACTAACTACCTGTTACGGCCTCCAGTATGTCCAACATGATCCAAACCAAGGTAATGAAGGATCTGATAAGGGATAGATCTAGTAAGAATAAAGCACAGAAAATCTCAAGTGTTATCCAAGAGGAAATTGTGAACAATCATCAAGGGGCAAAACACCAATGCTGGGGAAAAAAGCAAAAACTAACCAAGAAATTCCAGTCATCACGGTTTAGCTCATGCAGTATGTGTCGAGAAACATTTCTGTCGACCTGTACTGTATCTTTGACCTGTCCAAAAAACATTATTTTTTTTCGTATGACCATTATAGAAAGCAATCAGTAAAGCCAAACATCACATTAAAACTCACAAAGAAACTGCTAACACCATCTTGTCTCATAAATAGCCCTGGGAATAACTTGAGCCACGTCTCATCACCAAGCATCACCATTTTCCAACCAATCCTAAAGAATTGACCTGGTAAATTTGGACCACTGTTACAACGGTTTTTCTTTCAATATTTGGAAGTATGAAAACATTTCTCATTCACAAGACTAATAGCTACCAAGAAGGTTGTCCTCTAAGAAAGCTTGTGTATTAAAATTGAAAGCCACATCCAAGAAACCACCAATCGCACCAGAAACCATTGCCTGAAAACAATAAAATCCGTAACTCAACAAGCAAAACAATTCATCTTAAACTGTGATCATTTACTTAACAACCACGATAAACGCACCTTCAACCTCGGCATTGTGACAGTCGGAGGAGCTGCTTTAGCATGGTAACCAATGGCATCTCCTTTAGCCAACAGTGACTGAGTGTAAGGCATAGACTCTTTCCATACATTCCTTGGAGGTTGACCATCTCTCCCTAAAACGAACTCTGCAGGAAGCCCATCAATAACCTAAACTAGCATCGTTTTAGAACCAATTCTCTCACAAAGAAAAAGAAGCAAAATCCAAATTTGAACAACTGCATCATCATACCATCAAAATCAGTCGATCATATTTCAAAGAGATGCCAGATAACTCCTACAACACAAAATACAACACTCCCAAACTTCAGAACAACCAAAACGAAGCTATAAATTTGTGTTTGTATTCAAAAAAAAAAAAAAAACCTGGTGGAGCAATCTCAGTTTCTCAGAATGAAGCTCAGATTCGTTCGAATTCGGAGAAGAATCACAGAAAGGATCACGATAGCTCTCTGAACCACTGAAATTTCAACATTAATAAACAAAGAATGAGTAAGCAGCTTCTTCTTCGTCGCTCTCAAAATGTTATGAATAGTACCTGACGCCGGAGAGAGTCGGCTTGACGGGGAAGAAACCGAAAACAAAAATCGAAAGACCAACGATCTGAAGGAATATTCCGGCCACCGTAAAAGCCGTCAGTCGCGTACAAGTCATCGCCGTCGTCATTTCAAGATCCAGCGAGAGAGCTGAACCAAAAACAAAAAAAATTCAAACGCTCAAAAAAAAAAAAAAAAAAAAAAAAAAAACTCGCAAGAAAGGGGAAAAGGCAACTATAAGCCCAGTTAAAAGCCCATTAGTACTATAAAAGGCCCATTAGTAGTATAAAAGGCCCATAATGAGAATTGAGGTAAATTGTACTGTATATAACTGTCACTGTAGTTTTTGAATCATGTTTTTGTGTTGTGTCAGAGTTGTTTCGTAGTCTCGTAGAAGCCTAAAATGGCTAAAAGGTTAGGTGCAATGTTACTTTAGGACTAGAGAGAGAGAGAGAGGCACGAGGACGTGAAGGTGAAGAAGGTCACGAGTGAAGAAGAGTCGAGTC